TGTGTTCCCTCTCTCGCTGTGTCTCTCTCTGTGAAATAAATTAAAAAAAAAAAAAAAGAACAGAGGTTGAAGGAATCATCTGAAAGCCAGTAGCAGCTGAGAGAGAGGGGAGGATTGCAATTGGGAAGATGGCAGCGATCGGGGAAGGCCGGTGCCGTGCCTTACCTGGAGGGCCCCTGCTCTGTGGGAAGAATATGTGTTTCCAAGAGCTCCTGGAGTTTTTGCAGTCGGTTGGTGGCATCGAGGACGTCACGAGGCTGGTCGGCCTGGGCGGGACCCAGGGCGTGTAAGTGCGATTGCAGCTGCTGCAGAACTCTGAGCAGGTAACAGCAGAGATGATGTGGCTGCAAATACAGGCCGGGGCTCACAGAGAGGAGCAACTCATTCACTGATGAGGAGGTTACATTTCCCAGTCCATGGAGGCGGGACCCAATAATTATGACTGTCTTCTCTGAGCATGCTGGTGAACTGCTAACAATTTCTAAAATTCTACACTTTGATCCAGAATAATAATAATAAAAAACGCTTTTGATCTAGAAGCAAATAAAAATTTAAACCTAATTGGGCTTTCTTCACCAGAACTGCAGTAAGTGCCCAGGGGCCTTGGGGTGCAAACTATATTCAAGATTCCATAAATCACCTAATCTCCTTATTCCAAAGAAGAAAAAGAATGACAAGTCCCAAGAGCCCCCAGCAAAGCAGATGGAGTATGAGGGGGTCTGAACGAGAGGGCATTTTTGTGGGTTCTTCCTTAATCCTTCATTTTGTATCACCAGATACACTGTCGCGAAAGCTATCAGCTCTATCCTGGAAAGCTTAAGGAAAATGAAAACAAGCAGAAGGTTGTATCTTCCTGTTGGTTATGCCGAGAAGTAGGAAGGAGTAAGACGCAGGCAAGCGAGTGGGAGGCGGATAACAGATCAGTTACTAACACCTGCGGAGCTTTACCGTTTGCCTGATGGGGTCCTGCCTGCTGATGAGAGCCGGGACCCTCCAAGTGAGAACAGATGAGGCTGGCTAAAAGCGGTGCCATCTTGTCAATGCTGTGAGACATCCATAAAGATTGTTCCCGCTCTGAGAGTAGGTATGTGTTTCTCCTGAGCAGGAATCCCACAGTTTCCTTTAATTCCTGAATGTAGACCCAAGACGAGGAAAGTCAGTCTGACATTCACCCAGGACTGGGAGCAGTTACAGATGGTAAGGTCGTCTCTTCACTCGGAGAGGCAAATGCTTAGTGGAAAGAACCTCTGTTTTTCATTTTCTTTCTCTTTTTTCAGAAAGAAGTCACCTCACAGTAGCTTCAAAACTAGTTTTATGAGGGAATACAGAATGAAAGAAGGGACAGTTAGATAAAATGTCACCAACGAAAACTCGAGAGTGGTACCTTCTGCGCTCACACCCAGTCCTCAGAATACATCAAGAAGAGAGACGAGGGGCATGATGCATCATGGCCCAGGGGACGGGAGTTAGGGAAAAGCTATCAAGGTTAACAGGGCCCGCGAGCCTTGAAGGGGATCCGCTCTACTGGCCTTTCTCACTACACGGGGAAGCAGAGCCCGCCATCTACCTATAAAATTAGACACCAAGCTTACCTCAGCCACCTTTGTGAGAGACAGAGGCTCAGAAGTAGCATCTGAGGGGCAGGAGGCTTGGCTGGGAGGAAAGAGAGGCAGGGGCTCCTGTGGCTGGATCAGCAGGAAGAGGCGCCCAATTACAAGATTGACAGGGAAGAGGAGGACAGCAGTTTGGACGCTGATGATCAGCTGGGACCAGGTCACAGGAAATGGACCCACTGGAAGAAGAGCATTACATCAACCTTCATCCTCAAGAGCTGAAGTCATCTCAGTCATTCCTCTCCCAGGTTTAGGTATTTATTTGGCAATTTAACCATGGTTATCTAAAGATAGGACATTATCATGGACATTTTCTAGGGATAGGACATCTAAGGATAGGACCGATGTGTTCCCAAGGCTGCCTCACTCAATGAATGAATGAATGAATGAATGAATGAAGGAGGGTGCACTAAAGTAAAAGGATTACACACCACAAACACCACACGTTAGGATCCTCCATACCTTGCTCATCTCTCTCGGCTCTGGTGCTGCTTCTCCAGAACATAAGGTTGACGACCATGGTGCACAGAAACAATGTCATGCAGCAAGTAAGCCTCTGGACTCTTGTAAACCGGTTCCAGGGATGCCGAGTTAGCACTGAGAGCCACAGATAATCCTGGGTGAGCTTTTCTACAATGATGGAGGAGAACAGGTGTCTAAGAAGATAAATTAGAACAGGACAGACGTGAGTTTTCATCCTGACAGTGTCCTGGACGAAGATGTGGTTTGCCCAACAACAAGCTCACAGCAACAACTCAGCCACTATCCAAAACCTCTATAAAGATGCTGTCAAAGGACCTGGCAACGTGATTCTTTTGTGATTTTAGGACACAAGGTTTCTGAGGATAAGGTTAATTTATATTGTATGAAAGTTTAATATTAAAAACTGTTTTTTTAAGCTAAGAGTTTTGATAAATCTTTTGCTCAACAAAAGTTTGCATCAGGCTTCCACTCAAGATAGTTTGGTAAATTCACACGTTGAGCACCTGCTCTACTCCAAATGTGGAGGAACTAGCAATAAGATACAAAAAGAAAGAATAAAACATATTGGCTGGGCTTAAAAACAGGATAAATATATCTGAGGAGGAGAAATGGAATTAAAAACAAAACAAAACAAAACAAAACACGAACAGAGCTGCAGAGACCTGCAGAACACCACCATTTCCCACCAATACCTAAAGGAAAAGAGTTCTTTCTTTGAGACTGGCATGAAGACCCGGTCATGCTCGTGCTCTCCGAGGTCCACGGCCAGCCAACAATTGCATATGAAGTACCATTTCCTTTTACCTGCCATGTCACTGACAATGACCTGGTTTACTACCTACCGTAAAATGAAGATAAGTATGTTAGGGGGGTGGGCACAACCTGTTGCTGTAATAAGAAGTAATCTTGTGCTGTCAGTAAATGGATTCTTTTCATTGTGAGGCCAGAACTAAAGAGACAAGAGCCGATCCAATCTTTCCCTTCCCGACCTCTAAGGGAATTCATGTATCAAAACCAGAAGGCAGACTTCTATCACTTAGCAACGCTCCAGTGTGTGTATGTATCCCTTCTGTCCTTGTTCAAATGTGCCAGTGCCCTGCCACCTCTTTAAGGAGCCCATCTGCCTCTGTCGTCTGTCACCAGGGCCTGAGGGGCCATCCCTGGGGGTGGGGAGTGGTCTTCAACATTCATATTAATGACATCTCATCCTGTTGGGGTCTGTAAACTGTACAGTTCAATACATTTCGAGGAATGTAAACACTGTGTAAGTACCACCACCATCAAATTATCACCCCAAAAAGTTCCCTGTGCCCCTTTCTAGTCAGCCCCCTTGAGGCTCACCCTGGCCCCAGGTACCACTGATCTGCTTTCTGTCTCTTAGATTAGTTTGCTTTTTTTAGAATTTCATGTATGTGGATTCATACTTTTGTGTCTGGCTTCTTTCACTCCGTATAATGTTTCTGAGATTCATCCACATCACTGTGTGTATCAGAAGACTGTTCTTTTTGTTGGTGGGTAGTATTTCTTTGAATGAACACGCTAACATTTGTTTCTTCATTCACCTGATGGACATTCATGCTGTTTCTAGTTTGGGATTACTATTAACAAAGCTGCTATGAACGTATGTGTGTAAGTCTTGGAAAGGACATGCGTTTTCATTTATCTTGGGTGAATACCTAGGAGTGGAATTTCTGGGTCATATGGTAAATGTCTCCCTAACTTCATGAGCCCTGCCAAACCGTCTGTTCACGTGGCTGCACCGTTGTGCGTGCCCACCCGTGGTGCGTGAGTTCCAGTGGCCCCCAACTTCACCCACACTCGATTTTGTCAGACTTTATTCTAGTCATTCTAGACTAGATGTTCGGTGCTCTCACTGTGGTTTTAATTTGCATTTCTTGAGGACTAGCAACGTTACGTATCTCTTCAGGTGCCCATTCACATTACTCAGCTTTACAAATCAAGCTGGAATGATAGTGCACAAGTGCTTTGCAGATGCCTGAACAGAGGGGAAGTGGCAAGCAAATGCTTAGACTTGACTGGCCTAGTGGGCTCGCGTGGCAGGGAGAGACTTGTGTTGCTAACGGTTTCAGGCAGGCTGCAGACTCTTTGCAGGTGGGCAACACTCAGCAACTGACTTGTCTGAGTCCCTGGGCCTTAGACCTTTGATTCCATGCCATTCTTTTTTCCTAACCCCAACCAATCATCTTGATCCTCAGTTAATGTCATCATGACTCTCTCCACGCACCTCCCCTCGTTCTGAGTGTGGCGGCAGGAAGAACAGAATCACGTGGACTTCACACATGTCAGATTCACCGGCTCATCGCTGACCCTTTCCCTCGCAAGCCCCCTGGGCCCGTCCCATATCATGATTCTGCCTTCCCTTCCCCTCTTCTGAAGCTCTTAATTTTGACCCGAAGTATATTTAGTAAATAGTCATTTATTAAATTTACTCTTTAAAGATATTTTTCGGGGGGTGCCTGGGTGGCTCAGTCGTTAAGCTTTATCTGCCTTTGGCTCGGGTCGTGATCCCAGGGTCCTGGGATAGAGCCCCGCAGCGGGCTCCCTGCTCCTCGGGAAGTCTGCTTCTCCCTCTCCCACTCCCCCTGCTTGTGTTCCCTCTCTCGCTGTGTCTCTCTCTGTCAAATAAATAAATAAAAATCTTAAAAAAAAAAAAAAGATATTTTTCGGGGCGTCTGGGTGGCTCAGTCGGTTGGGCGTCTGCTTTCAGCTCAGGTCATGATCCCAGGGTTTAGGATCGAGTCCCACATCAGGCTCCCTGATCAGCGGGGAGTCTGCTTCTCCCTCTCCTTCTGCTCCTCCCCTTGCTTGTGTTCTCTCTGTCTCTCACTTGCTCACTCTTTCTCTCAAATAAATAAATAACATCTTTAAAAAAAAAAAAGATATTTTTCATGTTTAGAGATACTTCCTTTTCTTTTTTTAAAAGATGTTATTTAATTGACAGAGAAAGTGAGAGAGGGAACACAAGCAGGGGAAGTGGGAGAGGGAGAAGCAGGCTTCCTGCTGAGCAGGGAACCCGATGCGGGGCTCGATCCTAGGACCCTGGGATCATGACCTGAGCCGAAGGCAGATGCTTAACGACTGAGCCACCCAGGTGCCCTAGAGATACTTCTCATTTATAATACTTTGGGCAGTCAATTGTTGTTATTTGCTCTCTACAATCATGACAACATTAAATGAAAATAAAAGAAAAAATCATCTATCACTTTACCAGCCACACAAAATCATATTGTTAATTTTCCCGTTTTTCTCCAGGGTTTCCCCTTTGTAGATGCTTTGAAATTTAAATCTACTAGTCATTTGTTACGATTTAGCCCAAAGTGTTATTGTTCTGCGTTGTGGCAGCATGCTGGTCTCACCCCAGACTGGGGGGTCCACAGAGAAGGAAGGACAGAGCCACCGGACACAGGTACTTACCAAGAAGGACTGGCCCCCGAGTTGTCGTGCCAGAGCCGCAGGCCATGCAGCTCCCCCAGGGAAGACTGGGTGTGAGGAGGAAGATGTCCAGTCCCCCTTGCTCAAAGACTGTCTTTTGAGGGTCACAAAGGTGATGGGGCTCACTCCGTCCGTCTGATCCATAAAGGGTGATAACCATCTAAAACACCACAAGGAAAGATAAAATGCAGGACGTTCTAACAGGATCCTTTGGGTTTATCCCTAAGGGGAAAGAGGGAGACAGAGAGGACTGTACTGGGATGAAGTCTCTGGGGGGCTGCAAAAGTACAGCGGGCCGTGCAGACGTACAGTTTGGAACTAGGACCCGCGCTCCTAACGTGCTCCCGGTGACCCGGGGCGTCACCAGGTCACAGCGCATCTCGTGTGCTGGAAGACGCAAGGCAAGAAGCGAAGAGCATTCATTTCACAAGCCTTAGCTGTTGTGGCAGCCTTTCTCCAATAGCCAGTGGAGACCTGAATAAGATAGTGAAACTGACAGCTGGGGTCATTATCGGCCAGGACAGTGACCTTCACCTGTAGGAAAAGCAGAACCAAGGAGGATCTTCACCTAAAAAGCAGGAGGATGCACGGCTCCAGCTTTGGCAACTCGATGGAAAGCAAGGGTGACTGGCGGGTGGTAGGTAAACAAGCTGACCTAAGTGACGGAACAGGGGTGAGGGCTGGAAGGCCCGGCTTTATGCCTCTAAAATGAAATAGTCACTGAATCCACTGATCAAGTCTTGGGCTTCGAAATCCTTCCACTTCCCTTGCACCCAGGGAGGGTTACTGCACAACACAGAGGATACCTAGTTAAATGTGAATCTCAGATAAACTATGAATCATTGGGGAGCACATTTATACTAAAAGTGCATTCATTATTTATATGAAATTCAAATTTAACTGGGTGTCCTGTTTTTATTTACTAAAACTGGCAACTCTACACCCACAGCAACAAAGAAATGGACGGCGTGTATTCTAGAATTTCCAAGGGTAAGAAAACATATGAATAAGAAAGCATACAATAGAAGCTAAGAAAAGACTGTCATCAGGGAGCCTGGGTGGCTCAGTCGGTTAAGCAACTGACACTTAGTTTCAGCTCAGGTCGTGATCTGAGGGTTACGAGATTGAGCCCCGAGTAAGACTCTGTACTCAGTGCAGAGTCTGCTTTAGTTTCTCTCTCCCTCTGTCCCTCCCCCTGTGCACGTGTGCTTTCTAAAATAAGTAAATAAATCCTTAGGAGGCTGTCATCAAGGGATTTTTTTGTTGTTGTTCAAAAAAGAGATTCCTTGTAGGTTTCTTATACATCGCAGTTATGTGAAATTACCATTTCACTTCCACGTAACTTTCATATCCAATGTATAAAGTGAGATAAACTTGCATTTGATTTTGGTTAAATTCTCTAGATGTTCCGGATGATTCCTAGCCTAAATGAATCACATGAGGGTTCAATCTCCACTAAAGGAAAAAAAAAAAAAAAAAAAAGGAGATAAAGTGTCAAGTTGCTAAGCCCTGAAACAAGACACTTGAAGAGAAATTTAAGGGGAAAAGTACCCCTTGAATTTCTACACCACCCAGTACCACACTACCAGCCTCTTCTGGTCAAGGGATTTTTCCAACTTGTTCAACACACTCAAGACACATGGAAAAGCTTCTGGAATCAACATCTTATCACCTTCTGCATGTCTGCTTGATCCTTTCTCCAAGCCCACACACATGTGAGTATATAGGATCCTAAAAGACTGACCAGCAAAGACACCCCAACAGGGTTGTTGGTCACGCGAAGGAACAGCTTGATCGTGTCTTTAATGTTCACCATCCGGGGCACAATGAAGAAGTTGCTGCCAAAGTAGGCCAGGCGGTTACAGAGACCCTGTGTCCTCAAAACTGTGCTCTGTGGCCCAACCTGTAATTAGAATGAAGACGTTGATTCTAACTGAGCAGAGTGCTAAGGAAGGGACAAACATAAAACACAAACACAGGCAATTCAGAGAGGGAAAAACGGTGTCTGGGATGCGTATTCACTGCTGGAGGTCGCGTACGCCGGGGTAAGCAGTGTGGAGAGCAAGCTGGCAGCCCCTGACTCCTGCCATTCCAGGTCTGAACACTGACCCCAGGGGAAGTTTGCACACGCGCAGGGGGACGTGAGAAAGAACGTTTCTGTCGGCTTTGTTCTTAACGAAAAATTCGGAAACGACCTACATGTATATGTCCAGTACCAGCAGAACAAACAAAGTAGAGAGCTACTCCTGTATACTGATGGGGGATACTCTATAGCAGTTAAAATGAATGAGTTAGAGCTGGATATAGCGACGTGCATAAATGCTAAGTGAAAAATACAAGTTAAAGGGGTGCCTGGGTGGCTCAGTCGGTTAAGCGTCTGACTTCGGCTCAGGTCATGATCTCAGGGTCCTGGGATTGAGCCCCATGTCGGGCTCCCTGCTCAGCAGGGAGTCTGCTTTTCCCTCTCCTACTCCCCCTGCTTGTGCTCTCTCTCTCTCCCCTTCTGTCAAATAAATAAATAAAATCTTTAAAAAAATACAAGTTAAAGAAGAATATGGTACAGATGGTGCCATTTACACAGAGACCAAAAGCATGCAAAACGACACTCCTGTATCTATGTTTGTCAGTCCCCCTCCTTGGAACAGAAGCTCACGAGGATGCTATCGTGTCCATCTCTGTAACTCTAGTTCTAGACGTGGGCCTGGTGCGTAAATGATGCCCAATAAACATGTGCTAGAAGAATGAGTACACATGCCAACTCAGGACAGTGGTCACCCTTTGGTGAGAGGGAGGACAAAAGACTAAGGGAGATACAGGGGCACCTGGGTGGCTCAGTTGGTTAAGGGTCTGACTCTTGATTTCGGCTCAAGTCACGATCTCAGGGTCGTGAGATCAAGGCCCATGTCAGGCTCCATGCTCAGAGGGGAGTCTGCATGAGATTCTGTCTCATGCTCTCTAAATAAATCTTTCCAAAAAAAAGACGGAGGGGATACATAAAGGGCTTTGATTATTCCTGAATGTTTTATTATTTTAAAAAATCTGAACTATTTTAAATAGAGCCAAATATTAACTTTGTAATAGAGCTGAACAGTGTTTAATGTTTTTATTATATTATCCCCTATAACTTTCCATATGTTATAACATTTCTTCATAAAAAATTTTTTTAAAAATATCACCAGGCAATCAAATGGCAGGTACCAATTCCACGTTTGATGGTGCAGATGGAAAGCTGAAAATATTGTCAGGATGACTGACTGCTTTCCATGACACAAGGTCAAATTCTGGGTGCGGGGCTATCTCTTGCCCTGGGAGGAACTCTCATCCTGCTCCCTGCAGCTCTGTTCCTTGCATGGGGTCCAAGCGCTGCACAGGGCTTCCAGGAGGCAGGAAACCCCCTGGTACCTTTTGTGAGCAGCGGGGTCACTGCTGGGTGAGTCTTGCTACTCAGAGTGCTGTCTCCATGTCTGGGAGCACTGGTATCACCTGGGAGCCTGTTAGAAAGGCAGAGCTAAGGTCCCACCCTGATTTACTGCAACAGAATCCGCCACTGAATAGGCTCCCAGGTAGAGGATTTGCTAGAGAGGCACCGCTCCAGATCTTCCAGAAATCACTGCTGAGGCCATGAATGGTGGCTCAGTCGGTTAAGCGTCTGCCTTCGGCTCAGGTCATGATTTCAGGGTCCTGGGATTGAGCCCCATGTCGGTTCAGTGCCTTCCAGAGCATCCTCTTTCCCCCTACTCCCATGTGAATGACCCCCTCTCAGCTCTTTGACGAACTGCCTCATGATTTCCAGAACCTTGCACCACAGTCTTTGTGCAACTGAACCAGGACTTAAATCAGATGGGATCGCACACATTCACCAGTGTGAAAATGCAGAGAGCCATTTTAAAGTGGGCCCACATCTGGAACTAGGTAACAATGTGAAGAGTCGCCACCTGGCCTGGAATGTACAAGAATCTGCTAGCTTATTTTTTAAGTTTTTATTTATCTGTCAGAGAGAAAAAGCAAGCACAAGCAGGGGGAGCGGCAGGCAGAAGGAGAAGCAGGCTCCCCGCTGAGCAGGAAGCCTGATGTGGGGCTCAATCCCAGGACATGGGGATCATAACCTGAGCTGAAGGCAGACACTTAACCGACTGAGCCACCCAGGCGCCTCTGCTAGCTTATTTTTAGAAAAGTTCTCTTTCATTGAGCAAGAAGTTTTCCTTTTACCCACAACATATTTAATACTTGCAGAACTTCTACATATTGCTTACTTCATCTGGAACTGTCCGATTCACCCTGGACTCATGTTTGAGAAAGAAATGACACATGAGGCCCAAGCCTGCTCCAAAGAGATGCACTCTCCTGGCCCTACCCACGGTCCTTCTCCTTTTTCCCAGGCTGACTTATTTCCCCTCCGATGAATTTTCTTTCTGGGCCCGCCCAAACGAGGTAAAAGCAGCTCTGCGTTTCATGCCAGCTCAGGCAGGAGAGAAAGAGGAAGTGGCGTGGCTTCTTACGTGGCATCCACCGCTCTTCCACGTGCTGTTGTGGCTGTCCCAGAAATAACACTGCGTGACGGCCGTCACCACCGAGAACAGGGTGGGCGTCTGCTGGGCACTCTCCTGGCTCTTGTCCAAGGCAGATGTTAGGTGGTAGGTGCCGGTCCCATACTGCAGACTCTCTGGCGTCAGCACCCATGTATATTCCTCATCTGAGAACCAAGAACAGTGCTTAGTTGCCTTTCAAATGGGACAAAAGTACCGTGAGAACCTTCCTTATGAAGGATCTATTATTATCATTATTTTATTTTATAAATGGGGAAATGATTAAGCCTAGACTTACAAATGATTTTACTTTTTTTTAAGATTTGAGAGAGAGAGAGAGAGAGAGTGCATGAGCACACATGAACAGGAGGGGCAGAGGGAGAGGAAGAGAGAAGCTCAAGCAGAGAAACTCTGTGCTGAGCATGGAGCCCGACACGGGGCTCGATCCCACAACCCTGAGATCATGACCTGAGCTGAAACCAAGAGTCAGACGCTTAACTGACTGAGCCACCCAGGCGCCCCCCAAATGATTTTAAGGAAAATGACCAGTGATACAACCTGGGGCTCTGGATTACTCCTGTTCCAATAAGAAATCATATTTTTTTGATAAATGAAGATTTAGGTCTAATGAATCGGAATGTATTATGAGTTTTAGAAAAATGAAATCGTCACCCATCAAAATGAGTAGCTACAAGACCTAGCTAAGAAAAAAGGCCCAAGATGAAGCAAGGATGGGAAGAGAGCGGTTCCAGGAAAGAGCCCTGATTCCAGGCCCAGCTCTGTCACCAGGTGGCTGGGAAGGGCTAAGGAAAGTCCCACAGTCTCCCTAGTTTTCTCACTTTCAAACAAGGACTCTGGACCAGAGGATGTCTAAGATCCCTTCCAGCTCCAACTGACATGATACTGGCAAGACTGGCAAGGAAAATGGGAGTGAATGCTCTGAATCGGGAGAGAGCCTGTTGGTAGCCCCATAGTGAGAGATGCTGCTGCAGGTGCTCTAAGAACAAGAAGAGCCTAAAAGGCGACCATTCCTGTGTTAGTGAGGCCTACACGAGAGCCAGAAGCAGCCCGTTCAACCCAGACAGACCATAATAGGAGACTATAACATGATTTATCCATTCCGATGACTCCCCCGACCCCATTGTTTTAGATGCAAAGGGTAGCTCTGAAGACTTCCCAGTACTACATTTATTTATTTTTGTTGTTACTTTTAGAATAATTTTTTTATTTAAATTCAATTAACATATAATGTATTATTAGTTTCAGAGGTAGAGTTCAGTGATGCATCCGTCTTATATAACACCCAGTACTCATTACATCACACGCCCTCCTTAATGTCCATCACCCAGTAATGTCCCCCCCACCCCCCAGTACTACTTTTGAAGTTGATATCCAGTGACTATGTTTTTTGGTCAAGTATATCTAGGCCCTGTCTATGTACCACAGGAATTCTTAGCTATTCTAAGCTACAATGTAGTCTGTCTGGTATTACACCAAGACTTACCGAGACATCTCTGTCCTTATCCAAATCTAAGATTAGACATAAAGTTTGAAATATAGATATAACCCACTGTGCTGGAATTTTACTTCTCAGCATTATGGAAATTTTCAACCATACACAAAGTTGACTATTATACAGTGAGCACACAGATAATCACTGAATAGACTCTATAATTAACATTTTACTAAACTTGGAGCACCTGGCTGGCTCAGTCAGAAGAGCATGCGAGTCTTGATCTCAGGGTCATGAGTTTGAGCCCCACATGGGGTGTGAAGATTACTTAAATGAGTAAAACTTAAACAAAAAAAATTCTACTAAATTTGCTTATCACATATAAATCTTGATCCATTCAACAATTTATCTTTTTAAAAAATGCATTTCGTGGTCATATATAAATTATACATGTGAGGGGTGCCTGGGTGGCTCAGTCGTTAAGCGTCTGCCTTCGGCTCAGGTCATGCGCCCAGGATCCTGGGATCGAGCCCTGCATCGGGCTCCTTGCTCAGCGGGAAGCCTGCTTCTCCCTCTCCCACTCCCCCTGCTTGTGTTCCCTCTCTTGCTAGGTCTCTCTCTGTCAAATAAATAAATAAAATCTTAAAAAAAATTATACATGTGATAAAACTACATAGAACTAATAAACACACATACACGAGTGCATGGTTGCATGGTGAATCCAAATGAGGTCAACATATGGTATCAGTGTCATTTCCCAGTTAGGATATTGTGCTAGAGTTATGCAAGATGTCACCATTAGGATAAACTGGATGAAATGTATGAGATCTGTTTTATTTTTCACAATTGCATGAGAACCTACAGTTACCTCGAAATAAAGAGTAAAAAAAAAAAAAAGAAGAAAAAATGCATTTCAAAGTAAGTTTCTGTTTGGGGCTTTACCTTTTTGCCACACCTGATTCTTTGGAAGGGTGATGTTCAAGTCGAAGGGGGTGTGGTTAGGCTGATACTGGAAGCCCAGATAGAGTGTCATTAAAAGGGGACGGGTGCCTGGGTGGCTCAGTTGGTTAAGCGACTGCCTTCGGCTCAGGTCATGATCCTGGAGTCCCTGGATCGAGTCCTGCATCGGGCTCCCTGCTCGGCAGGGAGTCTGCTTCTCCCTCTGGCCCTCCCCCCTCTCATGTGCTCTCTCTCATTCTCTCTCTCTCAAATAAATAAATAAAATCTTTTAAAAAAAAAAAAAGGGGGGACTTTCAGGTTGTATGCACAGGATCAGGGATTTCTCTAGGGAAGTGATGTCCACTATGATAATAAAATGATCTGAGCTCACGTTGAGGCTGGTAGGATGGATTTCCATGCTAACATTTCTCCACAGTATGATCTAGAAGGAGACAGTTAATTAATCTTCAAGTTCAAAATGGTTCATCCATTGATGTCTTTCAGTCTCCTTTCTAGTGCTAATGGAATGTAACTTCCTAAGTCCTCCTCTCTGAGCTTTAATAGGTAACACAGAGCCAGGGGTTAGGGGACAACATACAACCTCCGACCTAAAACACCTTCCCCTAAAGGTAAGGTAATCTCCATGCAGAAGTTCCCAAGTGAAGATGTGAATAATCAAATAATGGCACTGCCGCGAATCTAAAATGACTTTCTTCCATCCTGTTCTCCAAGAATTCCTATTCCCTTCTATTTCATTCCCTAATAATCAAGTCATACCTCAATATCTTCCATTAAATCATCAACTTGGAACAATTTATGATTAGAGCTTAGCAACACACTTCCGACGCTTCCAACAATGTTCTTGTCATCAAAATCCCTGAAGGGATTGAAAGATAGTCCTGTTACCTAGAGACAAGAAAACTCAGTTTCATCCATTGCTGAAATCTTTAGAAATAACACCCTGATAGGTAATAAGGTGTCAGATATAAAAAATTAAAGTAAATGTTGGGATTTTTCCCCTTGCTAATATCTCAAATGAAATAATATTTCTCATTAGAACATCATATGGGAAAGAATTAATTAAAGATGAGTCATTTACTTGGGACCCTCAGAATTATTATTTTTTTTTACATCTTCATACCTGGAGGATTCATGATTACTAGGAAGTTGAGAATTCTGCTCTCCAGGATAAGGCACCAAACTTACTTCTGTTTGTTGGGTAAGAAATACAATATACTGAAATACAGTATACTGATATGGCTAAATTGATACATTGAGTGAATACTTATTCAGGTATTCCCAGCTTTGTATGTACATAGTGAAGTGTTGAGAACAATTCAAACCATAACACAGAAACTGTCAAATCCAGAAGTCTGTTTAATGCTCCCAACTTCTACCATGGATCATTTTTAAGAGGCCTCCATTCCTGACATCGTAAAACAGAAATCCAGGGCACCCAGGCTTCTCTTGTTTGGTCTGGTGAGCTTACATTTCATGGTGCATCCCCTTCATGGTGCATTCAAATGCCCGCAGCCATCAATCCCATTTCCATTTGGATCAGAATCAATTTTACACTCACTTGGACATTAACTCCAGGGTGTCTGTTCAAGAGCTCTTGCAAAGCTGAGGCTGATGGAAAGCCTAACCTCACAGGTGCTGGGGACCAGAGAGTGTAGGAGCTCAGAGGCCAGGTTGACATGTTTTGGCTAAGGAAAGAGAAATTAAAGGGAAATCAATTTCTGTGTATTTTCTAAAGATCCAAAACCTAAAATGAACCTCTCCCCACTCCTCCTGTTACCTGTTCAGCATCAGAGTAGCAACAGAAGAGGTCAAAGTCACTAAAGACTCAGAAAACTGGTTCTGCTGTAGAAACACTTCCTGGATCTTCCCAAGGGCCAGCAAGGCCATTTCCAGCATATTTTCTACCTACATTTAGAAGGAAACACCACGTGACCTGAGTAACCTCAGTGAATAATGGTTTTGGAGGGGTTAGAAAGGGGACAAAGATCTTGATGGTGACATAAGGAAAGGTGACATTCTTTGGAAAGGACCCATAGAAAGTACTTCCAGTCTGGCTAAAGACTCAACCAACCTTTGTATCAACTAAGAGGGCCACCCAAGGACATATTTCTTTGTCCCATGATATAAGCTGTCCTGGACCTACTTTTTTTTAAGAGAGGGAGAGAGAGAGGGGCAGAGGGAGAGGGAGAGTCTCAAGCAGACTCCCCACCCAGCACAGAGCCCGACAATGGACTTGATCTCACGACCCTGAGATCACTACCTGAGCCAAAATCTAGAGTTGGATGCTCAACCAACTGAACCACCCAGCCTTCCCAAGACTAAAAAGTTTCTAAAATGAAATCAACATCAGCATCTCCTGCACCTACCTGCTCAATGTCATGCTTGGATCTTTGAAGACTGGCTTCACCAGCTTCCATGACATTGACGAGGGAGTGAACGAAGCAGATGGTCACGGGGTTTTCGAAGCTCAGACTGCTATTGATCTCAAGTGCCCTCTCAGGTAACTGCTCATTCAGGTCAACAAGGGGACTGAGGACACTGACCTGGGAGTTTTAGGAAGCAAACACACACTCCTGAGCTGTTTCTGCCTGTTTTAAATTTGTGTTCTTCTTATCAGGAGTTCAAGGTTCTTTATGCATTTCAAACACATTTTTATAAAAAGCACTATTACAACTTGGCAGGAAATGAAAATATGTTAGCTATGACCTATAGGGAGGATTTGTATTTCATGTTATTCCAAGGAACCGACAGAACCCTCCTGGAGTGGTAACTATCAAATAGCTAATTCACAAAACTAAGCTAAAAAAAGGAAAAGAGCAGTACTGGCTGGAACACTGAGTATACTATCCCTTGAAACTCAGGCCTCAGGGCGCCTGGGTGGCTCAGTTGGTTAAGCGACTGCCTTCGGCTCAGGTCATGATCCCAGCGTTCTGGGATCGAGCCCCGCATCGGGCTCCCCCCTCCACTCCCCCTGCCTGTGCTCCTCTCTCACTGTGTCTCTCTCTGTCAAATTCATTTCCCAGTTAGGATATTGTGCTAGAGTTATGCAAGATGTCACCATTAGGATAAACTGGATGAAATGTATGAGATCTGTTTTATTTTTCACAATTGCATGAGAACCTACAGTTACCTCGAAATAAAGAGTAAAAAAAAAAAAAAGAAGAAAAAATGCATTTCAAAGTAAGTTTCTGTTTGGGGCTTTACCTTTTTGCCACACCTGATTCTTTGGAAGGGTGATGTTCAAGTCGAAGGGGGTGTGGTTAGGCTGATACTGGAAGCCCAGATAGAGTGTCATTAAAAGGGGACGGGTGCCTGGGTGGCTCAGTTGGTTAAGCGACTGCCTTCGGCTCAGGTCATGATCCTGGAGTCCCTGGATCGAGTCCCACATCAGGCTCCCTGCTTGGCGAGGAGTCTGCTTCTCCCTCTGACCCTCCCCCCTCTCATGTGCTCTCTCTCTCTCATTCTCTCTGTCTCAAATAAATAAATAAAATCTTTAAAAAAAAAAAAAAAAGAAACTCAGGCCTCAAAAGCCTTCAAGATTGACTTAACATAGAGAACAAGAAAAATTCTAAATGAAACAGAAAGCCCCAATTCTCCTTTTGGGAGACTGTTCTCGTGCAAAACAAGTAAGAAGGTTAAGCAAATTGACAGAATATCCACTATAGGTACAACTATTTTGGTTTTGAAATGTTTTTGTTTCAAAGTAACACTTAACTAAAAACTTCTGCATAAAAAAGATCCAATAGACAAAATTAAAAATAAGACATGAGCACAAAATATTTGCAACACATATAACAAAAGGTCAACATCAATAATAAAGCTCTCTTACAAACACCTAAGAAAAATGACAAACAACCCACTGGGGGGAAAATGGACAAAGGACATGAAAAAGCAATGGAAAGGAGAAATACACATGGTCAATCAAAACATATTATGATGTTCAACCTCCTTAGTAATCAATAACATGTTCCCTCCTCCTTTTCTTTCTTTTCTTGCCTTTGAAATTGGGAGAGGGTGGGGCAATGGTTGGTGGGGATGTAAAACAGTGCCTGTTTATTTATTTGAGAGAGAGAGACAGACACACATGGTGGGGGGAGGCAGAGGGGGAGAGAGAGAGAGAGAGAGAGAGAATCCAAAGCAGGCTCCATGCTGGCTTGATCCCATGATCCCAAGATCATGACCTGAGCCAAAATCAAGAGTTAGACGCCCAACTGAGCCACCCAGGTGTCCCCAAACAGTACCTCTTGAAAGACTATTTTGTCATCTATTGAAAATGCAAAAGCCCCTGGGGCGCCTGGGTAGCTCAGTCATTAAGCAGCTGCCTTCAGCTCAGGCCATGATCCCAGGGTCCTGGGATCGAGCCCCGCGTCGGCTCCCTGATCTGCGGGAAGCCTGCTTCTCCCTCTCCCACTTCCCCTGCTTGTGTTCCTGCTCTCGCTGTCTCTCTTTCTGTCAAATAAATAAATAAAATCTTAAAAAAAAAAAGAAAATGCAAAAGCCCCTCACTTCTATCTCTGGCACTCTATTCCACAGAAATAGTCACATAAGTACTTAGTGATGTAGGGACATGGATGTTCATGGGTATGTTATTTCCGAGAGTAGACAAGTGAAAAATGTCCAAATGCACATGAAGAATTATTGGTTCATTTATGTGTACTGACACAAAAAGATATCCATGACACAGCATTAAGTAAAAAAAAAAAAAAAAATCAACGGGCTGAAAAATGTGTATACTTTAACTCCATTTTTGTTAAATTGACAAACTTGTCTGTGCATAGAAAAAAGTCTGGCAGGCTATGCGTGACAAATTAATAATAATCTGATAGTAGCGACTACATCTAGAGAATGGGATTAGCTAGAAGGACAAAGATGGTGAGGGCTTTTGCTTTATAAGTTTATATGCTTTTGTTCAGATTTTTTAATAACAATCATGCATTATTTCCGTAACTAAGAAGTCCAAATAGGGGCACCTGGGAGGCTCAGTCAGTTAAGCATCTGACTCTTGATTTTGGCTCAGGTCATGATCTCAGGGTCCTAAGAATGAGCTCCCATGTCAGGGCTCAGCGCTGGGCATGGAACCTGCTTAAGGTTCTCTCTCTCTCCCTCTGCCCCCCCCACCCGCCCGCCCGCACATGTGTTCTCTTTCTCTCTCAAAAAAAAAAAATAAGCCCAAATAAAATGGCACAGATTACATTTATAGGCTTATTGCAGAATATCTGAAAATACAGAGCATGGAAAAGAAAAAATGAAAATTCTCACGAATCCTAGTCCCTTAATTTACTTAGGTGTAGGGAGTAGAGACAGGCACGAAGAACAGTTGTTGTAGCCACAAATGCGAATATCATGGGGCACTGAAGGCCGATGTCTGTTTCAGAGCTGAACTGCTCTATCTTGGGCAAGGAGTGGATCTATTTCTGTCTCCCGTGATGTCGAACAAATATATCAGAAAGGCAGTAACCTGATAAATGAACAAAAGAAAAGAAACACAGCATATCTCAGTCATTACTGATTAATTTATTTGCAATCTTCAGAGTCAAAGGTACAGAGACACTGGCTAAATATTATATTGGGTCTCCATAAAGTGGTTCATAAGGCTAAATTCTTCACAGGGCACCATCTCCAGATTTTGTATTTTCTGTTTTATACACTTTTTCTCTGTTTTGCTTCCCCCTTTCTCCTATCTCGTTTCCTCCCGATCATCCTCTGCTTACCTGAGCTGACTCAGAAAATCCTGGAATAAAGGCTGTCCATTTCTGGAGCATCTCACAAGCTGTCTGTAGTTTGCTGTGAGTTTGCAAACCATGAATCGGTTTGCTCAAGTTCCCTGCTATCTCGTCTACGACCTGTTGGGAACAAAGGATTTTGCCAAAATTATTTAAAGAAAATGATTGCACTTTAGTAGTTTGAGACATTGTTTTAACAAGAGTTGACAGAACAAACTTGATGAATCACAGGCTCCTCATAACAGTTACTACTTTCATAAGCTTTTCTGCAAACAGATAGAATTTTCCCCTCTTTCACGGAGTAGAAGACTAGGTACCACGGTCATACAATGATTGATACAGGGACAGATGGGTCCGGAAATAAGATCTATGAGAGAGGTTTAAATCTCATGGCCATGATCAAAAGTGAGGGAAACACCTGGAAATCACAACAACAAAAACAAACTTTTCTATTCAGGAGTATGCTTATTTCCTCAGGTTTCCCACTGGTTTATGTCCCTTGATTCAAGAGTTCATGTTCGAGAGGGAAGTACCTGAATATGGTAGTTTCTGAGAAAACAAACCCACAACTCTGGATGTGGTCCCAAAACTTTTAAGAGGCTACTGCTTTTGAACCGGAAGTCCTGCCCTGAGATAATCTCTGTTTACACCAGCTACGTGGTGCCATTTCTAGAGAACAACCCACTGCAGCTTAATTTAGTCAGTATTCAGTAAATCTTTATTAAATGCCTACTGTGTGCAGCTGGGTTCTGGAGTTAGAGCATAAAGTTAGTCATGATCCAGCCCTTGCGGGCCATACCATTGAATAGGGTTATTTGTAGTTCATAGGGTTTGCAGGAGGTTAGATCAGTTACAGAATGATCTTAGAATTGAGGACCACCCAGTTTTGGTTTCTACTTTGGGACCAAGGTGTAAATAAGCAGGAATAAAGGTATGAGTGAGATCCAGGTACCACCCAACTGCATGTTTTCCAGGGGAGGTCAGGTCGTATTTAATGCCATTCTAGCTATAGCCAGAAAGGACACTGATGGCTTATTTGATGTTTCAGAGCTGGACTGAACCATGGTAGAGCTCACCATTTTCTTCGCCTTTCTTTAATGGCTCTTAATAAAGCTTTATAGTTGTCTCCATACAAGTTGTGCCCATCTTTGGTTAGATTTACTCCTAGGTACTTGTTATTCTACCTTTTTTTTTTTTTTTTAGGAAGAGACCCTGTGCAAGATGGGGCGGGGGAGGGGGGTCAGGGGAGAGGGGGAATCCCAAACTGGCTCCTCGCTGAGTGCATGGCCAAAATCAAGAGTCAGACACTTAACTGATGGAGCCACCAGGGAGCCCCTGCTATTCTCTTTAAAAAAAAATCTAATTTTCTAACTGATATGTAAAAGTACAATTAGCTTTAGTATATTGATCTGGTATTCAGCAACACTGATAAATTTTCTTAATGTTTCTAATAATTTATCTGTAGGCCTTTTTGGGTATTCTACACTTCAGACTTCTCTCTATTTAAGGAAAACAAAGCACTCTGTGTTTAAGCTACTGGAGATGAGTTTTTCTGCCAGGAGAACACAGTGCTAACTGAAACAAGAGTGAACATCTAGTTCCAATTCATGCTGGAAGCAGATCCAACATAAACAGGATTATCTTTTAGCAAAGAAATGTTAGATTACATGTAAGTAGGGCTTGTTCTAAAAAATAATATATATATAGAGAGAAGCAGGATGATTTTCTTCAGTCAACATGATCAAAGTGGCTTTGCTTTTTTTTGAAGTTTGTGGGGGAAAAGGGAACAAAGGGGATAGGGGAACTGGGATGCTGAGTAGGAAGAACAGTCCAGAAGGGTGTGCCACTGCCGGAAAATTGGGGCAGGTGGACAAAACTTCCTCCCCATCTGAAGCACTAAATATAAGAGCATTAAATAAAAACAAGACATGAAAATCCTGAAGTGAGTATGGAACCCATTGTGGACTATTTCCATGGACTCGCTCAGTGCTTGCTTTTCACTGGGGCACTTGCTCCTGTGTCAGACATCCTGTGGGAGAGTTCTGCTCAGAGGTAGAGGGTGAACTGGGCCCCTTCCTTACATGGCTATTCTTGAAGCATCACCAAAATAGAAGGAAAGAATAGAAGTACTTTCGCAGGGTCACAAAGGTCCCCAGGGTGACCTTGGTTTTCTGTATTTACCTGATCGGATGCATCCTGAAGTGATGTTTGTAGGTGAGTGGTGAAGACCTCCGCCTGGGAATCCTCTTTGGGGCTTGAGGTCACCACTACCAGAGCTTGCCCAGACTGTGTTTCAGGCGCAGGCCTGGTGAGCGCTGGGGTACCAGGAAGATGCTGGCTGGTAGGCGCCGAGATCACTGCCAGGACCTGCTGTGTGGCTTTGGGTAGTGTTGAAGGAAATTGGCTGATGGGAAGACAAAGGGTCTTGGACTGAAAGGTACATAAAGGAAGAGGCCGAATCAGATTTTACCATGTGAAAATTAAGGCAGTGTTTCCAAAATTATTCTGGCTCTCCCATGTCCCATGAGATATTAATGGGCATTTCTCTCAAAAAGATCCAGTGTTCAAACAGTTTTGAAAATGTGGCATATTACCCTCTTTAAGATTCACAATTTACAAAAAAAAAAAAAAGAGGGCACTTGATGCAATAGGCACTGTGTGTTATATGCAACTGATAAATCACTAAATTCTACCTCTGAAACTAAAAAATACACTATATGTTAAATAATTGAATTTAAATAAAAAAGATTCACAATTTACATTAGTGTATTTATTATCAACCATTCAATAAATTATAATTAAACATCTACCACATGCTAAGCCATGTCCTGGGGAACTAAGGATACAGCAATGAACAAAATAAGCCAAGTTCTTGCCCTCATGGAGCCTTCATTTTCATAGTGGAGGCAAATTATACTATATATTAAATCAGTGCCATGAAGAAAAACAATAAGAGTAAGCAGATGAAAGGAAAGGGTGTGTTTCAGGTACGGTGCTCAGATGTATGAGACAGCATTTTTGCTGAGAGTTGAAATAAAGGGAGAAAGTTCTGACAATATATTAGAGATGGGCATCTGAGAAGTGCAAAGGCCCTGAGGTCACAGCCTGATGGGTTTGTCTGAGGAAGAACAGGAGGCCAGATGAGCAGAACTGGGACGTTGGGGAGATCAGAAAGATCCTGGGGGTGGGGGTGGGAATGAGGGATGGGACTGGGGAGAGCATTCATATGTCAAGCAAAGGAGAAGAGAGTCATTTTACCTTGAACGAGATGGGAAGACCTTGGGGGCTTTGAGGAGCCACAGCAGGAGCTGACTTGTGTTGTAAAAGATCACTCCTCTGACTGCTGTGTTGAGAACTGAGCAATGGGCCAAGGGCAGAAGCAGGGAGATAAGCAGGAGGCAGATGCAAAGTTTGCCTGGGAGATGATGGTGGCTTAGATCACGGTGTGATAATGATGAAGATGGTGGGAAGTGGTTAGGTTTGGCTCTGAGAAGTCCTACAGTCAAAAACCTTTGTTTTCTTTCCTTCTGGAAACGTTTTAAGCAATGCTGGTTACTCTTCCGTAGAATATCACTTGGAAAATACTGATTTAAGGGATTTTGACCTCATCCTTGTTCTCTTTCATATAACTAGAAATGCTTATTTTTTGCAGTGGGTCCAGTAAATGTAAATGAATCTGTCTTTAGACATCCAGTGAAAGGTTTCTATGTAGAACACAGAGGCAAGAAGGCAGAGAAATTTCTTGAATTTGAAATTTTATACATTATGCAGTTTCTACTTTGATTTTCCTTCCACTCAGGTATTTTTCCTTTTTTATTATTTTTTGCTTTATTATTTATTTATTTTTAAAAAGATTTTATTTATTTATTTGTCAGAGAGAGAGAGCACAAGCAGAGGAAGAGGCAGGCAGAGGGAGAGGAAGAAGTAGGCTCCCGGCTGAGCAGGAAGCCCGATGCGGGACTCGATCCCAGGTCCCTGGGATCATGACCTGAGCCAAAGGCAGACATTTAACTGACTGAGACAACCAGTGCCCTTTTTAAAAAGGAATTTGAATTTTATCGTATTGCATGTACTTCTGTAAGATATCACAAGTTCTTTTTGGAATGAAGCAGGGAATAAACAACCAAGCAACAAATGATAATTGTAACAACGTGAAAGCCAGAGTCGGCTTTAAAAATGTCGTTACGACTATGGACTCTGAGAAACAAACTGAGGGTTCTAGAGGGGCGGGGGGTGGGGGGATGGGAGCCCGGTGATGGGAATTAAGGAGGGCACGTATTGCATGGAGCACTGGGTGTTATATGCAAACAATGAATCATGGAACACTACATCAAAAACTAATGATGTAATGTATGGTGACTAACATAACATAATAAAATAAAATAAAATAAAATGTCGTTAGTAAAATATCCATTCAACCTGGTTCTTTCCTGCATTTAAGTACTTTCCTTTCCTTATGAGAACACTATATCCGGGGCACTCAGTGAGCCAGAATGGCGTTCTGGCGGGACCTACCAGGAATTACAGAGATTACTAATCCCAGATGTGTGCTGTCAAGGGACGTACTTACAAGATCAGCGTGAGCAGGGTGGTGACAGGAGGTTGCAGGATGAGTAGCTGCCACAGAAAGAACAAAGCAGACTAAGTTCAAGTAAAAGTCTAGGGTAGAAATTTATTTGAGGACGTCTTATTCTTGGCAAAAAACAATGCGAATCATTTCATATAGGAAACTAAAGTGACCATTTCCCTCTGATGATAATTCTGTAGACAAGCTAGGATTCCAGAGCTGAAGTGTCACAAATCACTCGTCTAATCTCTGCTTACTCTTCAAAGGCCCTCAGTATAAAAATATTTAAATCACATCAATCGTAAAGTTGCCAGTACATAAATATTACTGTGGAAGTATTTGCCTCATAATTTTACCAAAAGGAGAAGCTCCCTATTAATAAATCAGAGCATATTTCTGACAGTTTTAGATGAGATCGGGTGCATTCAAGGTGGTATGGCCATAATCTGATACTTTTAAAGAATTTTTTTTTTTAAATTTTTTTATTCATTTGAGAGAGAGAGTAGAGCGAACGAGAGAGAGAGCATGAGCGTAGGTGAGGGGTAGAGGGAGAGGGAAAAGTAGACTTCCCACTGAGCAGGGAGCCTAATGCAGGGCTAGATCCCAGGACTCTGAGATCATGACCTGAGCAGAAGGCAGACACTTAACTGACTGAGCCACCCAGGTGCCCCCCCGCCCTTTTTAAGATTTATTCATTTATTTGAGAGAGAGACACACACAAAGAGTGTGCGATTGGGGGGAGGGGCAGAGAGAGAGGGGAAGCCGATTCCCCACTCATCTCAATCCCAGGAGCCCAAGATCATGACCTGAGCCGAAACCAAGAGTTGGACGCTTAACAGACTGAGCCAGGAGTCCCTGTAGTCTAATACTTTTAGAAAATAATCATTGACAACATTTTAGCAGATCATGGTTATTGCTTTCATTCCCTTTCCACATTTTCCAGTAAGAAAACCATGATCTGAAGGCACTATCAGCGTTAACACACATGGCTATTTGTTATTAACTTAGGCTGACTTCTTTCAAGGCATGTGCTCTAGACCCATTACAATTTATCTGGTTATAGCAAGCCTGCTTTATCTCTTCTTGTAGCAGTCTCTCTGCTGTTGATAGGACTGATATGTATGTTTAGCAGCAGAATCATTCTAACCACTACTGCTGGGGGAGGACAGAGTTCTGAGATGTTCTTCTGATTAGTTGCCATGTCTTTCTTTTTTCTCTTTATTTTTTTGGAGACAGCCTATGTGCAAGCAGGGGCCAGGAGGGGCAGAGGGTGCCACCGAGGTGCCCTGAATAACTGGTATTTCTTAAGGATAAAACGAGAACTGATGAAATATAAGTGGTAAATATGTAAAAGAGAATAGAAAAATGTGTATATATAACATCACGTTCTAGGCAAAATCAGTGAAAAGTGACCTGGACACCTGCTAAGAAAATTTCTGTATTACAAGGATTAAAAAATTTTACAATGTGATAGAGGAAAAAAGGGTACCTATTAAAAAAAAAAGTCTAACGACAGTCTTTTCCACGGTAACCATAAATGCCAAAAAGCAAGAGAACGGCCTCTGCAGAGTCTTGAGGGCAAGAGTGACAAAGGAAATAATGTTCCTTGTATTGCAGAGACTACTGCTTATTTCCCCCACTGGGTCTTCCTTCCTTCGAAGGAAACATGGTAGCCCCACTAAAGGACTACATTTCCCAGACTTCCTTGCTGGCAGCAGTAAGGCCACGTGATCAGGTCCTGGCCAGCGGGATACGAGGAGTAACTGGTGCAATTTCCAGGCTGTGCCCTTAAAGGAAAGGATCAGGCTTCCCATTTTCCCTTCTCCCCTTCCCAGTTGATAGAATGGGAACACGGAGGCGGGGAGCTAACGCAGCTTTTATAGACCATGAGATGCAAGTCACAAGGTGATGACAGCAGAACAAGGCAGGAAGAGCTTGGGTCTCCTAAGCTGTGGAGCCAACTTAACAGCCCTGGTCTGCTTACTTACACTGTGATGTGGAAGAGAAAGGAAATTCCATTTGTTCAAGCTTCCATTCTGACTTCTGTTACAGCAGCTGACCCTATGTTTTTAACTTGTACATGCTGCTAAAACATGGCCTATTGGGAAGGGACAAGAAAGACATTTTGAGTATCCTTGAGTTGCCAAAATATTTCCACCAATGGATCTTTCTTGTAAAAACAACTGGAATAGAGACTATACAAACTTGAGAGCTCAAGAAGGGTAAAGTTATGGCATAAAAATGATTGGTGCTAAATGTGAAACCAGTTAAAACAGATATACGTTCTAAATTGTTGGAAATACGGCTTTGACAAAAGTTTTTTTTAAAGGTATTCTTAAGTTACATATAAAAAAACAGGGGCGCTTGGGTGGCTCAGTTGGTTAAGTGCCCAACTCTTGGTTTTGGCTCAGGTCATAATCTCAGGGTCGTGAGATTGAGCCCCATGTCAGGCTCCGTACTCAGCATGGGGAGTCTGCTTGAGATTCTCTCCCTTTTCCTCTCCCTCTGCCCCTCCCTCCACTCTCTCTCAAATAAATAAGTAAATAAATAAAATCTATTAAAAACAAACCAATATAACAATAACCTGAATAAAACCCACAGACCATACTAACAAAATCTATGGAGGGAGGGTGGGGAAGGAAAAGCTAACATGTGCTATATTCCTTTAACCAGATGAGGGGGCTTCAAAAGAGACTGTTTCACTCCTGAGTCCAACCATCAGAGAAACACAGGTGCAGGAATGTGTTTTCAAAAAGAACAACTCCTTGAAGGCAAACAATTAAACAAGAGTACGGAAGAGTAAAATTCCAACAAAGGACAGAAGAAAGTAGCAAGAAAGGATTAGAACCCAAAAGCACAGAAGAAGGCAAGAAATGACATCAGTTATTAAAATACATTTAAATATGATAAATTCTACTATAAAAATATTCTCAGAATCAAATAATTAGACCCATTACACAAAATTTAATAGGAACACGTGTAAAACAAAGTGACACAAAATTTTCAAAGGACCTTGCGGGGGGCACCTGGCTGGCTTAGTCAGAGGAACATGCAACTCTTGATCTCAGGGTTGTGAGTTTGAGCCCCACATTGGGTATAGAGATTACTTAAAAATTGAAAAAAAAAAAATTTTTTTTAAAGGGCCATACGTACATAAATATAAGGCAACTCCCCAGATAAGGCAATGCCCTTCTTTCTCAATGAGGAGATTTAAAGATAGTTATTTGGGGGCAAACTTGACTATGTCATTTCTAAGGATATAGGTGAAACAGTCAAACGTCTAGTTAACTTGTTCTACAAAGGCATGTTTAAAATCACATGTTATCTGTAGTCGTCTGTTAACTTAGGCGCACTGCTCTCTGGAAACTCGCTTTCCATGACATGGCTTTACCAAAACTCTTCAAATGCATCCTCAGTCTCAGTGCCTTAATTATCAAGAGAGCCACTTCTGTAATTATTTAACAGTTTCAAAACTACACCAACTTTACCTTCATCTACTGCTATCATGAAACACTTCTTCCCCACCTCACAAGTACCCAATTACAAAAGCAGTTGGAAAAGCTGATTTTTATGTTTGTTTTTAAGATAGTTATTCATGTCTCTACAACAGCACTTTCTAGATTGCTCTTTTAAGGAATCCGTGGAGGGCTTATTGACAAAGACATCTAAAACTTGGAAGTTGTGAGGTCATACCCCCCAGAATAATCACTACATGCACTTTAAATTTGTCTCTTTTTCTACCTGGTTGGTCAGGCGATCTCTATAATCATCCAACACTGATACTGATTGAGGTCATTTCAGGCTAATGCATCTTCCCCAAATAGTATTTATTTTTCAAAATTAAAAAAAAATGAGAGAGAATACCACAATGTGAAAGACTGCAAGGACTTGAAGAAGACTTTGGATGGAAATTTTGTGGGAGAAAACCCTGTCTTTTATTAGGACACATGTGAAAAGAAGATGGCCAAAGGCCCATCAATAAAGTAGTACCTATAAAATGAGATCAAAGACTGCAATAAGATGAGACAAAACAGAACGCAACAAATATTGATGGGGTACATGTTATGATGACACACTTCAGCACTAAAATAATCTTGTGCAACGTTTCAGGCAGGAATTGATTTCACTACCCATTACCTGAGGTCCTTCTGTTTCTTGGTACTGCAACTTCTCCTCTTATCTTTTCAGGTCTCCAGTGTAAATGAGAATTAATTCCAGGTCTTTCATCTTGGTCTGGAAAGGCCTCTATTTGGAGGCCAATGGAAAAGATAATTTCTAGTATATAGCTCTAGCTGTAAGTCTATAAATAGCTGTCACCAGCACATACATGATAATCAACACAACACAAATTAAAGATTACTGTTTTTTTTTTTTTTTTTAAAGAACGTAGGAATTCTCAAGGAGTTCTTCTGCTCTTGACATCACAACACCTTCCACTCTCCAACGTCACAAAATGAGGTCCACTGACTGGGTCAACACTAAGATAGAATTAAGTTCATTTTAAGAAATTACGTTCTAAGTGTAATATTCTCCTCGTACTGTGTAATTCCTCTTGGTAGAGAGAAAAGAGTTCAGTAGGTGAACAATAACATTCTTGAACGTGCCTCCTTATGTAGACTTGCTATTTCTCACGCATGCTGCCCAACGTGGCTTGACAAAATCATACAACCTCACTGACCATATCTCAGCTTAAATTCAGATTACAAGCCTAACAATCTTATTGTGTTCCCCGGGTCTCGTCATGCTTCTGCTCTCTGAGAGGACTTCTTCCTATTTCCTCCTCTACTGTACCTCCAACGACAAGGAAGTCCCTGATCCTCATTCTCAGGGCAGGTCATAACTTTGCTTTCTGCTTCAAAAAAACAATGGAAACAATTAAGCGTCCCTTCCACAGAGTCCTGCCATCAAATTTGCCCCCGACCAGCAAACATCTACACCCACAGATGCTGCCTTCTGTCCTGTTCCTACAAGCTCCCCGCGCTCCTATCCAAAGTGAACCCCTCTAGCTGCACACTAGCTCAGATCAAGGATACCGTCCTGGCTACTGTTTTTTCTGTCTTAGAACAAATCACCAATTGACATTGCCTCATGAACTAGTTCCTTCCTGCTCTTGAGCAAAATTAACCTTAAAAATTGTCGAAACTTGCTACATCCAATTCCTCTCCTGTTCTTCTTCCTTATTTTTAGGAAACAAAACAGTTTTTTTCTAATTATGTAAAACATTTAGAGAGTTCCAATGTCAAAATTATGAAACCAGGTACATTCAGGAAGATCTAAATTCTATCTCTGTCCTTTCTACCCTATTCCCACCCTCCACCATAAGTAATCATTTTCATTAGTTTTTGTTTGCTTTTCTATTATGTTTATGGATATATGTGTGGAGGTATCTATGCATATATATTCATATTATCCTTTTTTAAAAAGCATATTATACATTGTTCTCCAGATTGCTTTTTTCCACTAAAAAAAACATAGAAATGACCCCACTGCAGTACATAAAGATATTGCTTATTTCTCTTTACAACCAGCGTCCCCCTAGATGGGTATGTGGACTGTTTCTACCTTTTTGCTATTACAAAGAAACCTACAATAAATAGCCTCATGCATGTGTCTTTTTATATTTTTGCCAGTGTAACTTTGGGAGAGATTCCCAACAGCAGGAATGCTGGGTCAAAGGGTAGATGTAAATGCAATTTTGCTAGAGACTGCCAAATATTCCTCTCCTTAGAAACTGTATCTTATTGCATTCCCATTAACTATTTATGAGAGTACCTATTTCCCTACAGTCTTGCCAACAGAGTATGTTGTTAAGTTTGTGGATTTATGCCCATCTGATGGGGGGAAATGGTATCTCAGCTTTAATTTGCATTTCTCTATTTTTGGGCAACAATACTTCATAATATGAAACCTTAGACTTCTCTTGAATGTTAAGGAACAAATTTACAAATACTTCTCCCACCAACATGTTATTTTGGAAGAGGCTTTTTTTTTTTTTTTTAGGGAGAGCTTGTGCAGGAGCACGGTGGGGAGGGGCAGAGGGAGAGGGAGAGAGTGAATCTTAATTAAGCAGGCTCCACGCTCAACAGTGCGGAGCTTGACACAGGGCTCGATTCCACAACCCTGAGATCATGACCTGAGCTGAAACCAAGAATCAGATGCTTAACCGACTGAGCCATCCAGACACTCCGGAAGAGGCATTTCTTAAGTTCACAATAAAATGTATAAACACTATGATAACAGTAGCCCTTCCTTCCTTCCTTCCTTCTTCTTCCTTCCTTTCTTTCTTTTTCCCTTTCTTTTATCTTTCCTTCCTTCCCTTCCTTTTCTTTTTTTTTTTCCTTCCTTCTTACATTTTTTTATTTATTTAAGTAATCTCTACACCCAACATGGGGCTCAAACTCATGACCCAAGATCAAGAGTCACATGCTTTTCTGGCTGAGCCCCAACAATAGCTATTTCGGAACACTAAACAATTACATTGTGCCAATACTTTAGTTTTAAAGGTAATTAGCAATATCAGATCTCCAAGAGATCCAGTGACCTTTGACATGAATGTGATACTATCTACAAGCAGAAATGAACTTTGCACAAAAAATAGAAATTTCATAATAGTAACAGTAATAACTGCCAGGCACCGTTCTAATACTTTACTTGTATTATCTTACTAATCCTCATGACAATCCTTTGAAGGACTGCCCACAACAGGAAAGTCCCAGAATCAAGATATGAACTCAGAAGTCTAACTTTAGAGCCTGAGCTCTTAACTACAGAAACATTTAATCTCATTATGGGAATGCAGGTTCAGAATTTGCTGAATTGGCTTAGATAACTAAATAGATTTCTTTTTTTTTTTTTTTTAAGATTTTATTTATTCATTTGACAGAGAGAGACACAGCGAGAGAGGGAACACAAGCAGGGGGAGTGGGAGAGGGAGAAGCAGGCTTCCCGCTAAGCAGGGAGCCTGATGCGGGGCTCAAACCCAGGACCCTGGGATCATTACCTGAGCCGAAGGCAGACGCTTAACCACTGAACCACCCAGGCACCCCTGAAGAGAATTCTCTTTAAAAACATTTTTTGGGGCGCCTGGGTGGCTCAGTTGGTTAAGCGACTGCCTTCGGCTCAGGTCATGATCCTGGAGTCCCAGGATCGAGTCCCGCATCGGGCTCCCGGCTCGGCGCGGAGTTTTCTTCTCCCTCTGACCCTCCTCCCTCTCATGCTCTCTGTCTCTCATTCTCTCTCTCTCAAATAAATAAATAAAAAAAATCTAAAAAATAAAAAAATAAAAACAAAAACATTTTTTGTTGTTTTTTAAAAAAGATTTTTATTTTTTATTGTAAAATTTTATTTGTTTATTTTTAAAGATTTTATGTGTAATTTCTGCACCCAACATGGGGCTCGAACTCACAACCCCGAGATCAAGAGTCATATGCCTGACTCAGCCAGATGCCCCTAGAATTCTTTTTGCCCAAGATTATCTTCTGCACAAACATTTCATATTCCATAGCAGTAATCTCTTGCAAGTACTTGAGTGATAATATCAGAAAAATGCATTTTCACTCCAAAACCAAGAGTAGGTGAAAATGTCTAAAAACTCAACTCTTGGAGAGTGAAAAATGAATGGAAAATCATCATCATTTAGGTTGTATAAAGGGTTACTTTTCCGATCCTGGAGATGAGCTGGGCCAAATAACCTCCTGTCAAGATGAAAAGCAGTTCACCATTGTAAGGAGCCACACTCACATTTGTGATAACGAAACACAGGAACCCTTGATTAACGCAGAGATTGGCCTCACAACCTTGGTCTCGCCAACAACAGCGTGCTATCATGGCAAAATCGGGCAAGCGTATCACAGAGAGCTTGAAAGGGTGGAGAATGAGAAGCTGGGAATCAAAAATTTATTACCTTGATATATTGGGTTCTTTCAATACCCAGTATTTGAGGAAGGTGATCTTTTTTTTTTCTTATAACAGAGAAATATTACAATGTGTTCTGTTTTATGAAGAACCCATAGATGCTTCATATTTTAATAAGAATGTATTCGCGACTTTTTAAAGTGGAACAAAATTTTTGCTCAGACTGCGACATTGTAAGGTCCTCGAGAATTCAATGAACTAAGAATAAATGCTGGACACAACCACCATGAAAAACGTACATTGAAAGAAAAATCCCGCACCCAACTTTATGCACACAATTCTCATCGTGTACTCCTGAGGACGCAAACCGACACAACAGCCTCCTCACCCTTCACCTTCTCATCTTCCTACACCAATATCCTATTTTCCCCTTTGCTTTTGCAGTCTTCCCTCATAAGCCCAAGTGCCGAATGGGTTTGGGGTGCACGTGAGGAAAATGGAGTTTACTGCTACACTTTCTCCCACATTCCATCCAAGTCAAGAAATGAAGGCGACACCAGGCACAGCAATAACTACCAGAGTGGGATGTATATGAAAGTCATTCCAGATGAACAGTTTCTCACTCTAATCAGTATCATGAAAATCAATATATAATCAATACCATCAAAATCCCTACATGCATCCTCTGCGCTATCACTCACAGACTCTGTGACAATAAACCTTCTTAAGCACATTCCCCCCACACCCCCATCCCCAGTTTTTCTTTTCATTTAACCACACCCTTAAGTAAACCTTGGGGCATAATGTCCTTGATCTGCCCTGGAGACAGGACTAGGACACACAGCTATTCTTAAGCATTTTCCTCTTGGGTGGTTCCCCCTTAATAAACCATTTCTTGTCAAGCCGGACTTGTCAGCCTTTTTCTTTGGTCTGTTGCCTCCTTCAGTCTTTGGATGCCTCTTGGCATATACCTCCCTTTCATGGCACAGACTCTTTAACCAATACTCTCACATGCCGTCCTTATGTAGAATCAGTTTCTAGATATTATGACTTTGGTGGCATGTGGCTTCATCACTTACCAGCCTGGCAAATGAAAGAATGCCCCAGGGAGCACAAGTCCACTTTTGATGAGATCCAGTTGGCGTTTCGGGACAAGTAAGTGCAGTTGGGGGGCTCTAGGGGCCAGAAGGGCACGACACCTGCTGAAAGAGGAACAGACCCAGATGAGCCTCAGATTCCAAAATCAACCTTTTTAAAAAGTAAATATGAAAACCAAATTTTGCTAGCTTCTAATAGATGCAACTTAGGATATCTCCCAGATGTGATGTGTTGTTGGGGGTCCAGGAGCGAATGGTCAAGAAAGACTTCTTGAGATATCTTTGGTGCAAAAAGGTGGTTTTATTAAACATTGGGACAGGACCTGTGGGCAGAAAATGCTGCCTGGGATTGTGAGGAGTGACTGATTACATTCTTTCCAGTTGGGAAGAGCTGAGGGATAGCGGAAGTCTCTAAGGAATTTCGAAGCAAGGTTTCCTGGACCTTGAGGGGTCATTTTCTACTGTCTAGTAAACCTTAGTCACAAGACCCTTCAGATGGATATCACTGGGCCATATGTTTGAAGGATGATTGCTAACATATATCTTGCGGGGAGGGGAAGAGATAAAGGAAGTTTCCAAACGGATTTTTATATGTTAAAGAAGACTTGCAGGATCCTGGAAGTTGGGCTAATGTCAAGCTAAGGTTGCCTTTTGGCTCTAGCAAAATATTAACACTGAGGCAGGTAAGCTTCTGGAGGAAGGTCACCCTGCTTGTCTCAAGAATTTGTCAATGGGCTGTAAGTTGTAAGGCGATTTAATTTTTTTCTATATTTCTTTTGCCTTTGTTCTCCACACCACGCCCACACATTACAGATTATTTATTTTTTCATATTATGTGTTCTTTATCACAAGGCTTCGTATTAATTTACCTAGACTTCAGTGAAGATGATGGTGATATAACAGGGCCTTGGATATTTCTCCAAGACCACAATATTATGGTGCATGATTTTGAAAATATCTCTGTAAGAAAGGTAACAGGCAAATCAATGTCTCTCCTGGTTTCTGAATTAGGAAGAGATATTTACCAGGAACAAAGCGGCCATAAAAGGTTTCCCACTTCAGAATCCTACACATTACTTTCAGTGAAATATCAGGTGTTAGCTTTTGATAAACTCTGAGAAAATCTCATCATCTTTGCTACACAGACAAATCAAAGGTTGAAGCCCAAAAACATAAATACTTCAGAGGAACTGTGGTAATGAAGTAAAGTGACTGATTTTTCTATGTACAAAAGCAGAAAGATGGAAAATTTTTTCTTTCTCCTGTTCCAGAATAAAAGGAAAGGACTTTTCCTTTGTAAACACTTGTCTCAGAGCCTTACCTGGGTTGTTTTTTTCTTGACGTTTTCCCAGCTGCTTTAGATTTTGCCCAATCCACCACTTACTCCCTTCTTCCAGAGAGTCCCAGAGAAGATCCCGGACCCTCAGGTTCCAAGTATAAGCAAGGTGTCCTCCCTGGACACGACAGTAATTTTCTGCCTCCTCGTAGCTGCAGTGAAACCTGTTAAGCTGATAACAGTTATTTTTACCATGTCGCTCTGGGATATTTAGCTCACTTCCTAGAATGATACCTGTTCTGATGGGTAACCAAAGCCAGATTCTTCCCCTGAAGAACATTTTCTCTGTGAGCTGTGAGCAAGAACAGTGTGGGGGCTCAGCAGCTGCCTGGTCCTTTAAATATATTCTTGGTGGGTTTGTCATATTTATTAGTATCATTCTTTTAGGAATAGGGAATAATTTGTCAAGGAGATAAAAGGCTTTGTGTTTTCCTGTTTTTGTTTTTAAGAACCCAGGTGGAGTCCCTATAAGCTGAAAACAAACAGCAAAGATCAATAAAGCAATGGGCATTTACAGGGCACCACCACCTGTGTCTACACAACCAGCTGTGCGTTCAGCTTTAGAATAGATCTTTAATTGCTAAGCCTAGGCTACAAAGGAGTAGAAGATGATGAATATCTAAGTCAGTGCTACTAAAAATTGAGAAATGTATTATGCGTGTGTGTGTGTGTGTTTAAAGGAAACCATTCTTACAGACCCCCAGGACATATTTAAATTATTGTATTCTGTTTTTTAAATACATTCAAACATAAAACTAGGGATGAACTATATGCTAAAGCTCTTACACAATCATAAACCAAAAATCAAATATCAAAACCAAAAAATAAATATCTGATGAAAGAATACAAATTAAATACAAACAGAACTGAAAATCAATGAAATGAAAACGTGCTGCACTAAATAGCTATCTGACAGATAAACATGGTACTAGCTTATGACCACACAGGTTGTTTTGATTTGGCATGCACACTACTTCATGCTGTAGGGAAAATCCATTCTCTCACCACTTTTATTTAACTTGCTGAAAAACCTTTGTTTATACAGCATGTCATTTATCCTTCACCTGCAGGACATCCATCGTTTATTTCAGCCACTTTTCTTTCTTGGTACCAAAATATGATAATGAATACAAATAAATGTGGGCACTGAAATAGCTTGGTAGGTTTCAGGGTTCAGTTGGTTGTCCAAATGGCCCAAATGATGCCTATATTACTTTAAAAAATCATTACAGAAAGACACCAGTATCAAATATGCTCTTAAGTGTCTATGCCAAGAATACACTCCCTCAGTTTGAAAAACACTGCAGTAATCAAATGAAAGATAAATATGGCATGTTCCCTACTTTCAAAACGTTTACAGTCTAGTTAAGGGAAAAAAGACCTAACAATTGTAGTTAATAAATACAGTGCCACTGGACAGGTACAGCATATATCTATGAAGGCTCAGATGAGGAAGAAATTATTTCCAGCACTTGGCCATATTGAGATGGAGGAAACAGTCATCCTGGCAGGAGTCAATGTGAGTAAATGCATACAAGTGGAAAGTATTTATAAAGAGAAATAATTCTGGGGGTAGGGGTGGGCACTTGGGGAGACAGTAGTGGGAACTGAAACTAGAAAGCTGAAATGTCTTGAAATGCCAGGAAAAAGAGTATCCAATTAATCTGGAAGGTTTCTAAATAGGAGTCCAAGTCTTCGCCTCAGTGGAACCGTTCGGGTGCAGGAGTTCGCTACAAAGTCTAGATTTCCCAACACCTTCATTAACAGACATACTTACGTACATACACACGTTTTAGGCATTTTTAAGTGAGACCTGATGCGATGGAATCTTCTCTGAGGTCAACTCGGGCATCTTACACAGTGCGGTAATTCATTCCAACCCTTTTTAGGGTGTCTGATATATACTCTCAATACATGGCTTACCGAGAGCACAAGCATATCAAATGTTCTGCTTAAATGATCAAGATATTGGTGAGACTGTTGCTTAGAACTGAAGATCTACATATGCGATGTCTCTCCCCCACGTCGCTGGACCAGAGAGCTGGGGCCCACACCACCCAACGCCAGCGCCCCGCAGCTCTACACAGCGCAGCAGCGGAGCCCAGAGCCTGGGGCGGAAGGGGCGTGGCCGCCGTGATTGCGCGCGCCGGCGTCCAGACACACCCTCGGGGCGGAGCGAGGCCTTTTCCGCCGCGGGGAGGCCCGCCCCACCCTCCTGCCCCACGATTGGCGAAGTGGCAGCTGCAGGGGCGGTGATTGGAGGGCTCACCTCCATCTCCTCCAATGGAAATGAGCCAGAGGCGGGTCTAGTGGCGGAAGGAGCATGGCGTGGAGACAGCTCAAAGTGAGTTCAGAAAGTGGGCTGTGCGGCTGCGAGTAGTGTGGGCCAGGTGGGGGCTAGAGGAGAATAGTGGGCTAACCTAGGCGAGGTGTGGACGGGATTCGGCTCCGAGGTCGTGGGCTCCCTGGGCACGACTGTGCGTGGGCGGAGGCACCTGCAGATGCGTGCGTGTGCATTAACACGTGTAACGGCACGTTCCAGTCTGGATAGATGCAGGTCTTTGCCAACGCACGTGGGCTGACTTTTATTGAGCCTGGCACACGGGCGTTTAATGAACACATGACCGCCTAACATCGTGTGCTGGATCCAACGTGCAATGAAATTACACTAAGACATGGCCTCAACCCTTCTAGATGAAATTTTAGGGCAGGGGCTTGTGTAACTGCGTCCAGATACTTGTTGATTGACATTAAGGGGCGTTCCTACAATCCGCTGGAGACTAGAAGCAAGACAATAAATACTTGCTCTATATTTAACAGCTGGGAGTGATCCTCAAGGGCAGATCTGATCACGTCACTAACTTGTGTAGGGAGCAAAACTCAAATCTTTATTCTGGCCAGGGTCCCTGCCTATCTCCCCAGCTCCTTTTTAAGCCGTGCTTTTCCTCATTCCTTGGTTTCCAACAAGTCTTTCTTCTTTCCCTCTTCCTTGGGTGCATCTCTTTACCCTCTGCCACTGAGAGCGCCTTTACACTTTTTCCTGCCCCCCACTGCGTCCACTTAACTCCTATTTATCCTTTGGATGTCAGCTTTAAGTCACTTCCTCAAGGAAGCCTTCCTCTACCTCTGAGATTGGTTTGGGTTCTGTTATTACCCTATACATTTTTTTCTTCATGGCAGTCCTCACAGTTACATATTTGCGTGATCACTGACTAGTGACTGTCTCCTCCTGAGAGGCAGGGACCCTGCTTAGCCCACCTCAGAGTGCTCTATCACTGTTGGGCAGATGATTGAATGAATGAATGAATGAATGAATGAATGACTCATCACCTGGCAGTGATAACTAGAGAAAAGCATTATGAAGCACGTTTTGAACAGGATAGTGATTCTTGACTCAATAAGACCTGATGCTCCTTTTTAAAAAAATATTTTGAAACTGCTTTTATTATCCTGAAGTAAAATTTATATATAATGTAATCTGTCTTTGTATAATTTTAAAAGTTCAACTAATATCCTAACTGGAATATAAAAGAGAAATCAAAGGAATTTATAATAAAATAACATGCATTTCAGCATGTAAATGTTACAGCATGACTCACTTAGTGAGATATAGTCAGGTGTTTAAGCCTCTGTTTAGAAATTCTAGAGCCTCAGGGATGCCTGGGTGGCTCAGTCGGTTGAGCATCTGCCTTAGGCTCAGGTCATGATCCCAGAGTCCTGGGATCTAGCCCCGCATTGGGCTCCCTGATCAGTGGGGAGCCTGCTTCTCCCTCTGCCTGCAGCTCCCCCTGCTTGTGCTCAAGCTCTCTTTGACAAATAAATAAAATCTTAAAAAAAAAGAAATTCTAGCGCCTCGGGTATGTTTTATTGTCAAACACCCAAGCAAAGCACTATGCCATTCCTGAGATCTCTGAAATGGGGAACAATCCTTGGTAATGTTCTGTGCAAAATAGTGCAATTGTCCCTCAGTTTAGAGGGAATTGCATTCCTGGAAAAGTCAATGTATATGAAAACTGCAGGAGATAGTTTGTGTTTATGTGGTGGAATATAGGCTCAGATAATATAAAGAGATACATACTGTAAGATGTTCAAAAGTCATACAGGACAGGGACAATTCATCTGTCAGATAGCCTAAAACAATGCAGGATGTCTGCCTTTACTGAGTCCTGCCCACTAAATCTCTTAGCATTCCTCCAAAATACCTACCACAGGTCCCCTAGGAGGCAATACTGCCTCTCGTGAAACCTCTGGCCTGGAGTCCTTCAGGGCACGATGACTGTCAGAAGTGTGGATACAGCCGCTGAAAGTAGAGGCCAATGTGTGAGCAGAACTAGAAATGAAGGAGGCCAGTGTTAGCAGAAGGCTAGGGACATTGCTTCATGTGACATGTCATTATGTCCTGTGTGCATGGGTGTAAAGGGCTCAGAGAAGTTACTGCAGTCTGGCCTGGAAGGAATCTCAGTGGGCCTTTTTTCCCCCCCAGAAGCGGGCCCAGGATGCTGTGGTCATCCTGGGGGGTGGAGGACTTCTCTTCACTTCCTACCTGACGGCTATGGGGGATGAACATTTCTACACTGAACACTTGATGCCGGCTATGCAGAGGCTTCTGGACCCTGAGTCAGCCCACAGGCTGGCCGTTCGCGTCACCTCCCTGGGGCTCCTTCCTCGTGCCACGTTTCAAGACTCTGACATGCTGGTAGGTGCTCTCGGAACACCTCCTGATTAACAAGCTCTGTAAATAGTTCTGACCTAGACGTGCTGTGGCCTGCCCTTGGACAAACACCGGGATAGCCTGCGTACCTCTGGTTTTGTTTCCTTCTTCCTAGGAAGTGAGAGTCCTGGGCCATAAATTCCGAAATCCAGTTGGAATTGCTGCAGGATTTGATAAGCATGGGGAAGCTGTGGATGGACTTTACAAGATGGGCTTTGGTTTTGTTGAGATTGGCAGTGTGACTCCGAAACCTCAGGAAGGAAACCCCAGACCCAGAGTCTTCCGCCTCCCTGAGGACCAAGCTGTCATTAACAGGTAGATGAATAGCCCGCAGGTAACAGGGGAGGCCTTCTTCCCAGCAGGGCACTCAGCAATGTAAGATCTGCCGGGTTTTTTTGTCCTACAGTGTGGACATTTTTCTGCTATTTGGAATGTTCGGGAACCATGTTGAGCATCTCCTGTGTGCAGGCATAAAAGCGGGTTTTGGTATTCTAGTTTAATGCATATACACGCTGAGGCTCAGAGAGCTACATGACTTACCTATAATCATGGCATCATAAGCGAGAGAGCTTGGGTACGGATTTAGACTTAAATTTGACTTTAGAGCTTTTGCTTTTTCCACATTGTTACTCCAGTGCCCTTGCCCAGCACTGTCCAGTAGAAATAGAATGTGAGCCCTGTGTGTAAATTAAAATATTCGTGTAGCCACAGTAAGATAGGAAAAAGAAATGGGTGAAATTGATTTTAATAACATAGTCTATTTAATTATTGTTTGATTATTATATTTAACTATAAATACTCCATGTATTCTAAATGTCATTTTAACATATAATCAAAATAAAAACGATTAATTAGCTATTTACGTTTTACTGGTACTAAGTCTTCAGAATCCAGGGTGCACGTGACTTGGAGCGCACTGGACTGGCCCATTTCAGGCGCTCAGCGGCACATGTGGCTAGCAGTTTTTGAATTGGACGGTGTAGCCCTGGCCTTTAGTAAACTGAAAAACTTAATAATCCACATGTACAGCTGCTTTTAGTAAGAGAGAGCCTTCTAGATCGTGTAAAGCCCTTCTCTTTGTAATCCCTAGGCAATATTCACTGCAGCAAACCCAGAAAATGAAAAAGTTCCTACTTTTTGGTAACAGAGGTTTGAGAACCTCCTTGGGAGATTCTGATAGGCACCTTTGGGCCCAGTGATGGCCTTCTGGAAGACTGCCTTCTGGGAATTTTATTTGGCCACACATCCTGCTTTATCGTGCTTGTTTCAGGGAAATTTTCCAGCATTGGAAATGAAGTTATTGATCTTTCTGCTGCATTGCAGGCTGGGATTGGTATCTTCAGAATTTCCAGGCAAAACAGATTTAGGATTTGGCTTCCCCAAGTAACTGCAGGTACCAGGACAACGGTACTCAGCAGAATCCGTAGGCGAGAAGTGGTTGAGGGAGGAGAGCCTGTGTGTTCAGCCTCCTTGCTCTGGGAGGCACGGAGTGGGTGCCCAGTAAACACCTGCTGAATGAATGGAATAATTTATTAAGTCCACAAAAACAGGTGCCGATGTATCTGTTCGGTGGTTTTGGCTGCAAGTAACAAAGCAGCTTAGCCAATAGGCGTTGGTTATTATTTCTTCTCCGGGAGGGCGTTAGTGGAACCCCGGCAGGAGGTGGAAGATGGGGTGGTCAGAGAAGCCACTCCGGGTGGGAGGAGTACGTGAGTAAGGAGTGGGGGCCGATCCAGACAGGTCTGGGGCAGCCATGTGGCGTGTCTGGGCTGTTGCCAGTGCTAGGTACCTGAGCAGCTTGTTTACAAATTTAAATCTTTCCCTCTATGTTTGATGGTGTTCTGGCAAGTTCTCTAGGAGTTCCAGGGGTGTTTAGACTTTGGAAGTCTAAGAACTGACTCTGATTTTTTTTTTTTTTCTGTTTCTAAAAGTCAGAAGTATAATGGAAATGACCATGAAGCCATCTCTCCAAAGTCTCTGCCTTTGGCTGAGGGCTCTAACCTCGTCCCCTCCCTACCCACTTCTGTGCTATAGATACGGATTTAACAGTCACGGACTGTCGGTGGTGGAACACAGGTTGCGGGCCAGACAGGAGAAACAGGCCAGGCTCACAGAAGGTAAAGCGGGGGTGCTCTAGAGGGGCTTTCTTCATTTATTGGAAGGAAACCTGTGGGAGAAACGTCAGGAACATTCCTAGTGAAATAAACCTGACTGAGGAATAGGAAAAAAACCACTATGGAACTCGGGAATTTTCCTGGCTTTACCACAGCCACCAAGATTTTAACTGAATTTCACAATTTAGCGAAGACTCGCTTAGTTTCTGCCTCGTTATATAACCTGGGTTATATCATAACTGGGGCAGCTTGGAAGTGAGCAGAACAGAGCGGCTCCTCAGTGGTCACATGGGTGGTTGAGATGTGAGCGGGCCTGGAGCGCCATCTTCCTGTCTTGCTTTGTTGTCCTTTTGTGTGTATGTAAATAATGCATGTTAATTACAGAAGCATTAGTAAGTACAGCGAAGCATAAAGAAGACAATTAAAATTACTCGTACTCCTTCCTACTTAGGGAGAGCTGATCTTGGCATTTGGGAAAATACCCATTATGACTTGCTCAGAAACACCATGCATGTCGGGAGGCTACCTTCAGGGATGCTGCTGAATGTTCTCTGGGGGCTCTGCTTTGCTGCCCCTCAGGCTGCACATAAGTGCTTGTTGCACTGTTTTGTCCTCACCACGCCTTCCCAGTTGCCCTCTGAGATTGTGTGGGGCTGTGGCCATTTTCCTCATTGGGTCCCTCTGGACCTCTTTCCAGGAGTTTAGTCTCATTAAATGGCTTGGTAGTGAGATGAGAAAAACCTGTGGACATGAGCTTCACTCGAGGAAGTGAGGTTGAAAGGGCCAAGTCATTCGGCAATCTCTGATTTTAGCAGGAAGTGACCTTGTTTGGAAATCCCAGGTAGCAGACCTTGAGTACTATAGACCTTCCTATTTGGGGAACTTTGAGCCTTATAATAGGACCTCCATGGCTTGTGATACTGTACTGCCTTCTTGCCTTCCTTTCCTTTTTTTTTTTTAAATCCTTTCCTTCTTTGTTCCCAGTGCAAGCTTTCTCCCCTGTTCTCCCTTGCCCATCCTCTCACCCCACTCCAACACGCACATTGATTGGAGTGAAGCAGAATCTTAGAGCAGAGTTCTGCACGTGTTGTTTTCCAGCAGCTAGAAGACTTGAAGACAGCTTATTGTGAGCACAATAAGGAACATAATTGACAAAAGCTTTGGTGTCCTTTGAGGACAGAGTAATTCAGAAATTTCTAACTTCAAAGTCTTGGCCCTTTGGGCAGCTAACTGCTGATGGAAGACCCATTAGCTGCATGAAAGGGATGCTCTTTTTAAAGCCAGCTTACCCGTGAGGGAAGAATCAGTTTACAGATGGCTTGGCCTGGTGGAGGCTGGACTTGGGAAGCTTGGAGGCCTTGTGGAGCTTTTGTCTAATTGGGCGCTAACCCCCTCTTCATCTCCCCCCAGGGAATATTTACTTTCAAGGGGGTGGTTAAAAGGGTGACCAGTTTAGGGTATGAGGAGGTGGTTAGCAACACTAGATGCTGCTCTTTGGTCCCACTGACCGGACACACGTTTTGGGGGCTCACTTGCTGTTCCAGGTCTTTTCCCAACCACCAGCTGCAAGAAAGCAGCCAGCAGCACTGACATACCAGTGAGCTTTGCAGATAGCGTGGTAGCTTAGAAGTACAGACAGGGCGCCTGAGTGGCTCAGTTGGTTAAGCGACTGTCTTCGGCTCAGGTCATGATCCTGGAGTCCCGGGATCGAGTCCCGCATCGGGCTCCCTGCTTGGCAGGGAGTCTTCTTCTCCCTCTCATGCTCTCTGTCTCTCATTCTCTCTCTCAAATAAATAAATAAAATCTTTAAAAAAAAAAAAAAAGTACAGACAACCTCTAGCTTTCACGCATAGCATGTTTCTGAAATGTATTTTTCTAAAAGAGCCCTACCTTTTTTTGGCTAGTATTTGCACTCCTAATTTCACCGTTTTCCACTAAATTTTTAAAAAAGAAAAAGGGCACAATGCAGTAAAACATCCTAGTAGTTGCCCCGGCACTGCTGCGCAAGGATGATGAGCTCCTCTCGGTGAGCAGGCAGCCGCGCCCGCAGCTTTCGTGGTGTTGGCCCCTCCGACCGGGAAGGTCCCGTACCGAGGTGCGCGGGGCATCCTGAGCATGTTGCACCGGAAATGGCGTTTGGGGACAAAATCTTGACGAGCGATCTTCACAGAGGGGCTGCCACTGGGAATAAACCTGGGGAAGAATAAGACCTCGGTGGACGCTGCTGCGGACTACGCGGAGGGGGTTCGCGTCCTGGGCCCCTTGGCTGACTACCTGGTAGTGAACGTGTCCAGTCCCAACACCGCTGGGCTGCGGAGCCTTCAGGGAAAGGCGGAGCTGCGCCACCTGCTGACCAAGGTAGGCAATTACATGTCCGGGCTCCGTTCGCCAGCCTGTCCGGTTCTTTCTCTCCAGGGAAGGAAGCTTCAGCGTCACTGTCGAGGAGCTGTCCTTAGCACCTGGACCGATAGGACCCCCTTCTATACTCGTAATCCCCTATCGTAACCCTGATTACGCTCAACAGTGATTAATGGCTCAGTCACCTGTCCCTGCTGTTAAACCAGAATGTCTGAGAGCAGGGGGCTGGGTCTCGCTGTCTCTAGCAGTGAGCACACTGAATGAATGAATTGGATGACTCTTTATCAAATAGTACTTGTGACAGTATTTCCTTGTTATCTCTTTTAGGAAAAAAGTCTAAATAAACCTTCATATATTAGCTAATACCAATGACAACATTAGGGACTTAATCTTGGGGATCCCTTGGTTCAAGATAAGCAGACCCATCTTGGTGGTGTCTGTGGCATAACTGAGAGCTGTATTTCCGGAAAAGGAAATGTTGCTGTACTTACGCGTGAGAACACGCTGATCTGCGGCTGCAGGTCAGGGGCATTGGGGGCTGTGGCCTCAGGGGTCCCCATCTCTGGCCACGTGTTGCTCTAGGTGCTGCAGGAGAGGGACGCCCTGAAGGGAGCACGCAAGCCAGCCGTGCTGGTGAAGATTGCACCCGACCTCACAGCCCAGGACAAGGAGGATATCGCCAATGTGGTGAGAGAGGTGCGAGTTGGGCTGGGCCCTGGGACGCCCCTCACTGCCGGGTTGGGGGGGGGCATCTGGCCAGCTGGAATAGCCCATGGCTTCCTTTCTGTGACAGTGAGAGCTGGTTTAGTGTCTGTCACGATGTAACTCATCACAGAATACAAAGCGAACGTTGGGATGCGTCATTTTCCTGTACTTCTTCCCTCCCCTCTTTGCTCACATTCATCCAGCAAGGGCTCTAAGGCTAGTGCTTGCATCCTGGGTCAGACTAGGGTATTCTGTCCCTCTCTCCAGTCTGACCCCAGGTCCCGGTGTCGTAGGAGAGTAGTGGAAACACAGACTGAACCTGGAAGTCCTGGGTTCAAATCCTATTCCACCACTTACTACCTAGGGACCTTGGGCAGAACTAAAGAGAGTGGTTCTAAGGATTAAACCCTGTCCTAGTGGAACCTTATGGGTAGTCGATATGTGATGGCTGCTCTGGTTATGTTGAGGCTCATCCAGAACCTGTTCTAGAAGCACAGTGAGCTCTGTTACGGCTCTTGCTTCCAGGGGCTGTAGTGTGGGCACCTGGCCCGGCTCCTGGCTCAGACCCTCAGGGAAGCTTCTCCAGCTCTATCTGTGCCTTGACTGGAGGGCTCTTTCTCTGTCTCACACTGCAGTTGGGCATCGATGGATTGATTATCACCAACACCACAGTGAGCCGCCCTGCCAGCCTCCAGGGTGCCCTGCGCTCTGAAATAGGAGGGCTGAGTGGGAAGCCCCTCCGGGACTTATCAACCCAAACCATCCGGGAGATGTATGCACTCACCAAAGGCAAGAATTTGGTCCCTGTGTCTTCACATTTGTGTGCGGCTTGTCGGGCTCTGGGGGTTTGATCCGAATCAGCATTCCCTGAACTGCTGCATTCACCAGGGGCCGGAGGCGGAAGGCCAGCTGAGGTGCTCGCGTTTCCTGCCCTTCCTCACGCTGTTGCATGTGTTCCGGTGCAGGCGGAGTCCCCATCATTGGGGTCGGCGGGGTCAGCAGTGGGCAGGACGCGCTGGAGAAGATCCGGGCGGGGGCCTCCCTGGTGCAGCTGTACACGGCCCTCACCTACCGCGGGCCGCCCGTGGTGGGCAGGGTCAAGCGGGAGCTGGAGGCCCTTTTGAAGTGAGTGGGGCCACGGGTGGCTTGAAACAGGAGACGTTCAGGTGGTATCAATTCAGAATGACTCAAGTGAAGGAGGTGCTATTCACCTGTCTTTACTTATTCCTCATTCAGAAAGGATTCAAAACCACAGACAGACTGACAAAGGACAAACAGGGCCAAGGAATTCAAGATTAACTTCCAAGACGGTGGTGTTTATTGGCCTGAGGAGTTCGGGCAACATCCCTGTTGAGTAGCATTGGCTTGAGGTCAGGGAGCTGTTAATACTTGACACTGGTTCCCTTCCCAGTGTGAAGACCTAGGTGGACGCATGAAGCATGCTGCGGGGGAGACAGGCAGGTGCAGTTATGGCGTTGACAGCCTAGGTGAACGTGGGCTTCCAGCGAGAGCAGGGCCTGTCCTTCACCATTTGCTGAAATTGCTTTGTTTTCCCTTTTTTCCAGGGAGCAGGGTTTTACCAGAATCACAGATGCCATTGGAGCAGATCATCGGAGGTGAGGATGTTGTTGGTGGCAAGGCTGATCTGGAATCTTCTAAAGCAGGCGGGCCTTTGTGGCTGAATTGAGAGAGGAGAGCGATATTCCCCAACCCACAAGAGCCCTTCCTCCGGCCCGACTTTTGTCAAAGCCAATCATGAGTGTCACCGGAATCAATACACGGCTTTCCTTAATCGCTTGTCGGACCATGAACTGCATTCATGATTCTTTCTAGACTCAAATCTCTTTAATAGTGCAAGGACATTAAAATACTTGAGGGAAATATAAAGCCATTTAAAACCTGGATTTAAATCCCAGCCCTTTCTGGAAGGCCCCTGGGCTTTGCCCCGATGCTGCAGGTCCTCGCAGGCCTGTGCTGCCTTGGATCTGCACCGGGCTCCCGATGAGCTTGACTCTCTTTCATTCTGTCTTCACTTTTATTTATTTAAAGTTTTCACTTTATTTTGAAAATATTTCAAACAGACAAAGTCGCAAGAATCGGGCTCGTGGGTGGCCATCCTCTGTCTTCACATCCTCTTCCTTCTGTGAGTCCGGGTCCTCATCTTTTCTTATAAGGACGCCAGTCATGTCGGAGTGGGCCCCACCCCGATGGCCTCAATTTCATTTGATTCCCTTGGTAAAGATAGGATCTGGAAAGACCCTCTCTGCAAATAAGGGCACGTTCTGAAGTTCAAGGGTTTAGGATTTAACATAGCAATTTTGGGGAGACACAATTCAACCCATCACAGGAAAATGTGCTTGCTGTCCCCTTTCTTTATTATCTGTGACTTGGAGTGCCATCGGGCAGACAGGGTTCTCAAGGTGCTTGAAGACAATAGACAAGATGCTAAAGAGGTGTACTGTTAACTAAAGAGATCGAGCAACACCAGTTTTTTCAATACCGAAAAGCAAATGGTGGAGAGAAGCTGGAAACCTTGTCTGGGCAGTGTTGTTGGGGTCTGGTGCGCCCTCACAGCCGGCAGAAACTCCCTTTGTTCCCATCACCTCAATACGGATTTTATTCTAAATTCAATTTCTCGGAAGCTCTGCGAGAGGCCCAGGATGGTAACGGCGCTGATGTATCCCGTTGCCTCATGGTTGAATCTTGGCCTCAGCCCCGCCCTCCTGTATCTGCTCACTCTGTCACGAAACCCTCAGCCAGCCTCCTGCTCTCCTTTTCAAAGACCTTTCTCTTGTTTTTTGCTTTTTAAAAAATAGCCCCCAAATAAAAGTTGTAGACCTCTTTTCCCCCTTAAATAACTCTGTTTCCCAGAGGTAATCACAGGTAACTTTTGAATCTATCTTTCTAAATTTTTCCAGATATTTTTCTTTTTATATACAAACACATGTGTCCATAGCTATCTTTTTTCTCTCTCTGCGCACACATGTATAGAATAATTTTAGGAAAATAATACAAAGAACTGTTTTGTTTTTTTTTTTAAAGATTTTTATTTATTTATTCATGAGAGACAGAGAGAGAGAGAGGCAGAGGGAGAAGCAGGCTCCCAAGGAGCAGAGAGCCCGATGCGGGACTCGATCCCAGGACCCTGGGATCATGACCTGAGCCGAAGGCAGACGCTTAACCATCTGAGCCACCCAGGCGCCCCAAAGAACTGTTTTTTAATACCAAGTCATATGAGAGTAAATTGCTGGTCTGGTGCTCCATCATCCTGAATATTGTAGTGTGGATTTCTTGCAAACAAGTACCTTCTGCTACACAACCACAACACAACCATCAAAAATCAGGAGATGAGCACTGACACGTCACTTCATCTACGGGCTGTGTGGTAGGCAGCATTTCTGAAATGTCTCCCCCTGGTTCCCGATGCCGTGTCCTAATCTCTGGAACCTAGCAACATGATGAGATATCCCTCCCATCACTGTTAAGTTGCGTGGCTTAACATTGGAGCCGCCTTGAAGATAGATTATTCAGGTGGGTCCAGTCTAATCACATGAGCCCCGTTAAAAGCAAGCGTTTTCTCTGGGGGAAGAAGACATTAGATAGATTTGAAGCATTGGAAGGGATCAAAGTGTTGCTGTTTTGAAGACTGAGGTGGGGGACATGAGAAGGAAGGCACTGGCCCCTGGCTGGTAACCAGCAAGGGAATGGATCTCAGACCACAAAGACCTGGATCTTGCCAAAGACTTGAGTGAGCTTAGAAGCAGATTATTTCCAAAGCGTCTGAGTAAGAACCTAACCTGTCCAAAACCTTGATCCTGGTCTTGTGATACCTTGAACATAAACCCCAGTGGATAGGACGCCTGGGAGGCTCAGTCAGTTAAGCGTTGGACTCCTGATCTCAGCTCAGGTCATGATCTCTGGGTCCTGGGATTGAGCCCCTCAGTGGGCTCCATGCTCAGTGGGGAGTTTGCTTGAAGACTTCTTTCCCTCTGCCCCTCCTTCTGCTTGCAGGCTCTCTCTAAAATAAATAAATCTTAAAAAAAAAAAAAAGACCCAGCTGAGCCTCAACTACGGATACAGAACTGTGAGCTGGGGCGCCTGGGTGGCTCAGTCAGTTGAGCCTCCGACTCTTGGTTCCAGCTCAGGTTATGATCTCAGGGTGGTGAGATCAAGCCCCGTGTCAGTCTCTGTGCTCAGTGGGGAGTCAGCCTGGGAATTCTCCCCCTCTGCCCCTGCCCCACTCACACATTCTCTCTCTCTCAAAAAATAAATTAAAAAAAAAAAAAAAAAGGAACTGTGAGCTAATAGTGACTGTTTCAAACCGCTGAGTTTGTAGACTATGCTGCACACGAGAAAATTCGCACAAGGGAAGGGATCAGGAAGGGTTACCCTTTGGAAGGTTCTCTGTTGGAGACTGACATTCTGTCTCTTAGCACAGTTGCAACAGGCTGCTCTTTCTCCCTCGAGGACCAGAGTAAGTAGTTGGCTTGCGTTCAGGGGCCATGTGGGATAAGGAGTACCAATTCTTCTCAATTCTCAAAATGATGCCCAGAGCCCAGAGAAGCCCACAGTGCTAGGAGACATAGACTGATGATGCCCAGGTAGCCCTTTGGGGCCCAGGATCATTGAGTGGAATCACCATTAGCAGAGTTGCTAATACCATTTGCTAATACATTGTTCACTCTTATGTTTTGTGTTCTGTGCATAATTGGCCTGGCCAATTTCCCAGTAGTTAAATATAAGCAGTTAATAAGTTAAATCGTATTCTGCAACTTGCTTTTTTCACGTACCATCATGGAATTTTTCAGGGTTCTTCTTTTAGATCTACCGTGCGTTTTCTAACAGAACTGTGGTTTTCCACCGCATAGACGCACCAACGATTACTGATGGCTGGGCGTGTGTAGGCTGTCTTCACTGCTTCCATCACAGGCTGTGCTGTAGTGAGTCTCTTGGTCTCTGTATCTCTTGCTCTTCTGGTAGAATTTCTGTAAAATTGACTCCCAGAAGTGTTATTGCTTGGGCAAAGGTTATAGGCACTTAAATTGTTGGTAGTTAACTGCTAAATCGTCATTAGAGAGAGGTATGCCAATTTATACTTTCTCTCCAACTTGGGTAGGGAGGGTCCCCTTTCCTCTTATGTGGCCCCACATGGGAATTTCCAAGTATGGGTCAGGAATAAGCTGTTCTTCCTTCTCTACTTTCTCCCTGGGAGTAGCTTACATTATGACTCTTCCTTGTGGAAAAAGAGAACAGGAACTGTCTCTTTAGCAAGCCACATTGGGCTGCAGCCAGAGTGACTGCCACATCCATTTCTGTGTGTGTGTGTGTGTGTGTGAGAGAGAGAGAGAGAGGCTTCCACTAAGACCCCAGGGAAGGAAAACAGACAGGGAATAGTTTTCCCTGGGTTCTCCCATTCTTACCTGTTCAGGTCAGCCTCCTGCTGGTGGAGCCAACAAGTGGGCACAGCGCTGTATCCGAAGGGGCTAGGGTTCCTTCCGACAGTGGTTTCCCCTGAAGGGGTAGGTCCATCAAGTCACAGCCACTGTTTTGGAAAATAGCCATTTCTCTGCCGACCTTCTGATAGGTTGCTCTGGGTCAGGTTCTGTAGCCAATACTTTTTGTCCAGTCATCCATGAGGATGGGAGCAGGAAAATATCCCATCAGAATGGTGTTCTCAAGGTCAAGCAGGTGACTGAGACACAGAGCTGAGATGATTTGCTCACCTTCATTTCAGGGCCAATGATGTGACTCGGATAGCTCAGGAGGTCATTGGTGGTGTTCAATCAGTGCCTCTTGGCAGGAAAATCGAGTGTGCAGGACACTGGGGGCCCTTCAGCTCTGCTCTCAGTGGCAGATGGGAATGCACAGGCCCCATCTCGAAAGAGACTGTACTCTTCTGCTCCAGGTGGCTTGCCACCCAGGAGGGCCAGCCAGCATGTCATTGGCTCAGAGAAGGCAGAAATCTGCATGTTTTATGTGGCAGCTCCAGTGTTTAAAATCTGAGCTGATGCTGTACCAGTCCATCAAAACTGGGTTGTGGACCAGATATGAATTAAGGTCTCCGATTTAGGTGTCTGGCCCATTGCATCCTGTGGCAGCAATTAGAAACTCCTGTGAGCCAGGAGCACCAGCGGAGGGTGGGGCGGGGGCAGTTTGCAGGGGTGGGAATAATACCAGGAGAATGACCACCACAGGGAGTTCTGTTCACTCCATGACTCGCTGTGCTTGGCCAGGGGGCGGGAAAGAGTGCAAACTTTGGAGTTCGACCCTGGGAGACCCACTAACCCTGCTGATGCCACATTTTTTCACCTGGAAAACCAATGGTTTGGAGGATTAAATGATATCCTAACTGCAACTTTTACAAAGATGTGTACTATGTGTCAGGCACATTAGGTACTTATTATCTGTGGGCAGTCATGTTCATTTTGTGTGCCTCAGTTTCCCAAGTGTAAAAGGAAGAGAAAGACATTATCCATCTCAAAGGGTTGGATAAGGATTAAATATAAAGTGTAGTAGAGCTTTGCACATCCTACCTGCCTAATGAACATTATTTTAAATATTTCTCATCATCATAAAAGTCCTGTAAATAGGCATTATTATGTTTGTATTTACAAATAAACCCAGGGATTGAGAGATTAAGTAACTTCCCCAAACCAGGCAGCCAGGAATCAGCAGAATTGGGCCTCAGGGCCCAAGTATCTCCTTCTGATGTAGGGAAAGAGCCTCACAGGACCTCAGAAAAGTATTACTAGTCCTCTTTCCCTTTTTCTCCTCAAAAGTTCCTCTTCTTTTGGGGCTCCTGGTTGGCTCAGTTGGTGGAGCATATGACTCTTGATCTCAGGGTCCTAAGTTTAAGCCCCATGTTGGGTATGGAGCCTATTAAGAAAAAAAGTTCATCTTCTTTTAACAGATAGACTTCCTACTATTTTAAAAAACCTTTCAGAGATACTTGTCCTGGGCACTTGATTGGTCTGAAATAAGGCGGTAGAATGGGGTATGGTGATCAAAGCTCAGAGACCGGGAAAGGTGGGGAACCTTCTGTAGACACCTCAGTGCCAGTCAGGGTGGAGGCCGAAGCTCCAAAATGTAGCAGCTTGAAATACCAATCATTTATTATCGCACATGGTGTCTCTGGGTCAGGAATTCAGGAGCAGCTTAGTAGGGTGGTTCTGGCTCAGCGTCTTTCATGAGATAGCAACCAGGACACTTGCTGGGGCTTCAGTCAGCTGAGGCTTAACTGGGGCTGGAGGATCCACATCCAGATGATTGACTCCTGTGGCTCGGGAGTAGGTCCTGGCTGTTGGCAGGATGTGTCAGTAGATCTCTCCATAGGACTGCCCAAGGATCCTCAAACCATGACATCTGGCTTCTCCCAGAGTGAGTCATGCAAGAGAGGAATGCAAGGTGGAAGCTACAGTGCCTTTTATGACACAGTACTGGAGTCATGTACTGTTACATACACCACTTCATTCTGTTCATTAGAATAGGGCTGCCACTTCTAGCAAAACTAACGAACACAAGCAACAGGATGCCCAGTTTAATTTGAATTCCAGAGACACAGTGAATAAACGTTTAGTGTAAGTATATCCCATGCAATAATTGGGACATACTTACACTAAAAATTATTTGTTGTTTATCTGAAATTCAAATTTAATTGGGTATCATGGATTTTATCTGGCAACCCTATGTTAGAAGCAAGTCACTTAGTCCAGCCTACACTCAAGGGGAGGGGGAAAATGGTTACATTTTTGAAGGGAGGAAAACCAAAGAATTTGTGGAGATACTTCCAAACCACTGCAAGCAGAATTTTGAAAAATTTCATTTGGTCCTGGTGTCTGTGGATAATTGCATGGGAGCCTACTGGGATGAAGAAGTTCTGGACAAGAAGGTCACCTTCCTAATAATCTTGTACATTTGTAAGTTTACAGAAAATTACACACAATATATTCTTTGGTCCTCAGACAGCCCTGTGAGGTAGGGGAAGCAGTGATCATGATCCTCATTTTATAGAGGAGGAAGCTGAAATGCTCCACAGATGTTATGAGTAGAAACGGTGGAGGGAGGACAGATTCTTCTGGTTTTAAGTCTAGCATTTGTTGTACTCTACCCAGTAGTGTCCTGATACACCACTGATGCCTTCACAGTATAAGATGATTTAATGTAGTAGATTCATTTTCTACCCTCTGCCATGTTGTTATCTCAAATGGGTGATGGCCTTCGTGGATTCTTGCTGCCATGCTGTATCCTGGGTAATGGAGGAAGGTCCTTGCAGAAGCTGAGGGCCAAGATGTCATCCTCTCTCTCCACACTCGTAAGCTCTGGAATCCACCCTGGCTGACTGTGGGGAGCCGACCCACTAGCAGACCCTCTGAACTGAGTGACTCATGAGTGCCCATAGGAACATCATTCCCTTTCTCCAGGCGGTAGCTAACCTCAGGTGAAAGACTGGGATAGCCAAACCAAACGGGGAATTGCTCTAGCCTAATTTTTATCATAAGAAATTTAGACATACAGGGCGCCTGAGTGGCTCAGTCGGTTAAGCGACTGCCTTCGGCTCAGGTCATGATCCTGGAGTTCCGGGATCGAGTCCCGCATTGGGCTCCCTGCTCGGCGAGGAGCCTGCTTCTCCCTCTGACCCTCCCCCCTCTCATGTACTCTCTCTCATTCTCGCTCTCTCAAATAAATAAATAAAATCTTTAAAAAAAAAAAAAAAAAAAGAAATTTAGACATACAGAAAAGTTGAAAGAATAGTATAATAAATATCCATACCCCCTCCACTTAGGCTCAGTAATTCTTACTATCTTTTCCATGTTTTCTCTATTGATATTTTTACCTATTGATATATTGTGTTTTGATGTACCATTTTGAAGGAAGTGCTAGATATCAGGGCATTTCATTCCTAAGTATTTCATAGCTTGCATCTTCTAAAAATAAGGACATGCTCCTGTGAAACCATAACTCTATGATCATACCTAAGGAAATTAGCTATGATTCTCAAATATCATCTAACATTCAGTCCATACTCCAGTTTACCTTATTGTCTCCAAAATATCTCCCACTGTCAATCAAGCCTCGCCTATGTGGCTCTTTTTTTTTTTTTTTTTAAAGATTTTATTTATTTGCGAGAGAGAGAATGAGAGACAGAGAGCATGAGAGGGAGGAGGGTCAGAGGGAGAAGCAGACTCCCTGCTGAGCAGGGAGCCTGATGTGGGACTCGATCCAGGGACTCCAGGATCATGACCTGAGCCGAAGGCAGTCGCTTAACCAACTGAGCCACCCAGGCGCCCCGCCTATGTGGCTCTTCAGTTGTTTTTTTTTTTTTTTTTAAAGATTTTATTTATTTGCGAGAGAGAGAATGAGAGACAGAGAGCATGAGAGGGAGGAGGGTCAGAGGGAGAAGCAGACTCCCTGCTGAGCAGGGAGCCCGATGTGGGACTCGATCCAGGGACTCCAGGATCATGACCTGAGCCGAAGGCAGTCGCTTAACCAACGGAGCCACCCAGGCGCCCCGCCTATGTGGCTCTTCAGTTGTTTTTTTTTTTTTTTTTAAAGATTTTATTTATTTGACAGAGAGAGACATAGAGAGAGAGAACAAGCAGAGGGAGCGGCAAGCAGGCAGAGGGAGAGGGAGAAGCAGGCTCCCCGCTGAGCAAAGAGCCTGATGTGGGGCTCTGATCCCAGGACTCTGGGATCATGACCTGAGCCGAAGGCAGACACTTAACCGACTGAGCCACCCAGGCACTCCAGGTCAGTTGTCTTATAGACAGGTCTACATTCTACGTTTATTCCCCAAATAAAGGTTATATTTCTTTTAGCCTTTGAGCTGCATTGCCTCTGGGTGTGGATATGTGACCACATCCTACTGAAAGAGATATAAATGAAAGTATTGTGTGCAACTTCTGGGAAGTCTTCTGCTTCCTGGAACATGGGTATGATGGCCGGAGCTTTGGCAGCCATTTTATACCTGAGAATCAGGGTCACTCTAGAGGCAAAAGCTGGAAAGAGCTTCTTTGAACTACCAACACCAGCTTTGTCAGCTTACTTTCCCACTTCTTTTGAGAAAATAAAACCTTGTGTGCTTAAGTCTCTGTTAACTGGGGTTTTCTTTCATATGTAGTCAAATTCAATCCCCGTTAAAGCCAGATAAAGGCCTACTGTAATCTTGTATTTGCCTGTCAGATATGTTATCCACTTTCTGCTTGGCTAAGACACATTTCAAGATTTCTCTTTCCTCCAGGTGTAGATCATTGGTGCCAGCACCCAGTGAGAATGTGCTCAAACTATCATGTTACCTAACCTCTAGTGTTGATTGAATCTTGGCAGCGAAATTTTCTGTAAGAGCCTTGTGGTTATAAATGTGAGAAATGACATTAGTGTGGCTTGTTATGTGTAAGAGAATGTCAGGGGAGAGGTGTGTGTGCAGGAGCAGAGCAGGGATGACCTGGAACTGGCACGCAGCAGGCTTGTGAAACACAAACCTGAGCAGCAACTCAGGGGCAAGGCTCCAAAGGGCAGGGCCTTTAGGAGAAGAAATGCAGTAAGCATGTCAACTTGGCATTCTTGCCAGCCCAGGAGAGGTTTCCTGGGGGTTGAAAACTCCATTTGGGAAGTGTCCCACGGGAAACAAAAGGAGTCACAGCATGTGAAGGCAATCTGATAGCACCACTTGATCCCGGTTAATTGCTAGGGTTGACTTGGGTCTAGGAACAAAGCTGTGCCTGGAGGATCAGAATGTTTCCTGGGTCAGCAAGACGCCCCCTTCCCCTCCAGGCATGGGGAAGATACATAACCTTGGTGTTGCCATTTTGGTCCTTGGTTATTTGAGAAGCTGGCCAGCCTTTTGAGCTTTGACCACTCTGTTGGATGTTGAATTTATAGTCGTATAATGAATACAGTCACATCTTCTTACATCAACAGAGCAAAAAGTATGGATTCCAAGTCTGGGAACCCCAAAAAATCATTCTGATTAGGGCAGAATTTCAACTCTATTTGAGATTCTGATATAACCAATGAAACACACACACACGTATGCATGCATGAGAGACAGACAGACAGAGACAGAGATGGAGAGACAGACAGAGAATAAGGTTGACCCACGTTCATTTGCTCTTTCACTTATTCATTCTCCCAACAATCATTTATTGAGATTCTGCTTCCTGCCAGTGGTTGTGCTGCGTGCTGGGGATGAAGACAACGGAGTTTTCTTACCATCTCCCCTTGTCTCAGAAGAGACAAATACAAACACAACCGACAAGAATCCAGTGGGACACACTGTACAACAGTGGCAGGAGCCCAGTGCTTCCCTAGGAGAGAGGAGAGTCACTGGGGGGCACAGCCTCAGGCAGCTGCAGTGATTTCTCTGTGTGGATACACAAATTTCATACAATTTCCTGGGGCCATAAATCTGCAAATCCCTAACTTCTTGCAGCTTAAAGCAGAGTTTTAACACCATTCCTTCTAGAGAGATCTGTCATGGGACCAGAATGGATGGCTCAACTCTTTCCAGAACCTGGCTGGCACTCTGAGGACACTGTTCCCAAATGCTTTGCTAGGCAGTTTCCTTGGTGTATTTCCTAAGGCGTTTTGCAGCTGTGGCCCACGTGGTCTTTGCCTGCTTCCGGGAGGTGATGCCCCCAGGGCCTGGCAGGATCGCATAGAGGTGCTGGGGAGGGGGGTGGGAAGGCCGTGGGGCTGCGGACTGCTCATACTCAAAAGTAGCCTCCACTTTGCTGCATCAGGCTTCACCTGCTTTGAGTGTCAATGCTTTAGGGTCTTCCCTAAAAAACAGATGTGGAGCCTTCGAACTCCCTTTGGAGTTCAGTCTCTTTCTCACTTTCTCCAAGGGCTGTGAGTTTCTCTCTGTTTGAGCTCCACTCTCTTTGTCTCAAGCTTCTGATCTATTTGGCTTTCCAAGATGGGGTCAATCTAGACTTACCGGAGGCTCTAACCGAGTGTAAGTCTTTTTCTCTTGGTTCAGTCTTGCGATTCCACATTGAAGTCCTGTCCCCAGTTTTAGTCCACAGTCCCCACTGACTGGGGTTTGCTGGGGTAGCCCTTTCCCCAGTTCTGGTCTGCTGTCTCCGTTAATGCTGGGAATTTCTGGAGGTGCATACAAGGGGATTATTGTGATTATAATAATGTTAAAAAAGAAACAACGAGCCCCAAATGGAGTCATCCTCCCCACCCCCTGCAACAGCAAACCAAGACTTAACTAGAGTTTCAACCTATTCCAGGAATGTGACCTTTGTTACAGTCAATCTGAAATTTCCTGATCATCACTGGCGAGGTCATCCACATGATGAAAATCCTGCCCGTTCCCTACCCCGCCAAAAGAAGATGTCCTGGCCAGAAACAATCCCTCCTTTCCTCCCGCCTTCCCTTCCTTCTTTGTCTTTCTTTTTTTCTTTTTGCTAATAACTTCCTTGCTCATCCTTCTTTGTATAAAAACCTTGTTTTTCACAACTCCTCAGAGCATGCTCTCTACTTGCTAGATGGGATACTGTCTGATTCATGAATCACCTAATAAAGCTAATTAGATCCTCAAATTTATCTGGTGGTTGAACTGTGTTCTTTGACAATATCCTCACACCTTTGACCTCGGACCAATTTCCTACTGGCAGATTATATTTGAAGTTTTGACAGACTCTGGGTTTACCCAGCTCTGGTTGGCTGTCTTACTGATCGGAAGCTGGTTTGAAGATAATATTTGATTTAAAATCTTGGCACTTAGCAGTTTCTCATTTATAAAGTGTCAGCATTGATGCTTCTTTTTGGGGGGGTGTTGATGTTATTTCTGAGAAGCTTTTTAAAAAGCTCAGTACATCAGTATGTATGTCTGCCAGTGGTGCAGTTTTCAAGAAGAGATTTGGTGGCACCAAGGAAGCAATGTCTGTGTTCCAGGCACAGTGGGATCACATAGTTCCTGGTCCCTCGTGGCTGAGGGAAAGTGAGATAACCGAGATAACCTGGAAAGAGGAGGAATAGTGGGAACATGTTTGTTTAATTTTCTTATCGAGACAAACTGAAATTTTGAACAACATGTGCTGTCCTGAATTCAACACTCAATTATTCATTCTGTTCTAAGGTCATGTATACTCCTGGGAAAATTCGGTGGTTCTCATTCCGTGGCTGCTCATGCACTTGTGTCCACAGTATTCCATCAATTCTGAAATGCTGAATATTTTGCCATTTTTAACATCTCTGAAATTGAGATGCATCTTTTTTTTTTTTTAAAGATTTTATTTATTTATTTGAGACAGAGAGAATGAGAGACAGAGAGCATGAGAGTGAGGAGGGTCAGAGGGAGAAGCAGACTCCCCGCCGAGCAGGGAGCCCGATGCGGGACTCGATCCTGGGACTCCAGGATCATGACCTGAGCCGAAGGCAGTCGCTTAACCAACTGAGCCACCCAGGCGCCCTGAAATTGAGATGCATCTTAAATTGATGGCATCTTAAGCAGTTTGTCAGAGTTTAATTGACAGGGTTTTCTCTTGCTTAAAATTCATAGCATATTAAATTTGATGAAATGTGGCTGTGGTTCCTGATGGGGGGCCGTCGAGGGCAATGGTCAAGAATTCTTGACATGTTTTATGGTGCAAAAGCTGCTTTTATTATAGCCCGGGGACAGGACACATGGGCAGGAAGAGCTGCACTTGGTGACTGTGAGGAGTGACTGATTATATATTTCAAGTTTGTGGAGGAAGGGTGGGTAGAAATAATGTAAGTTTCTAAGGAATTTCTGGATGGTGAAAGTGGGGTCTACAGGACTTTGGAGGTCTGGCTTTTGTCAAGAGAAGGCTGCTTTTAGTCTGTAATGAAACAACAGTATGAAGGCAACCATGAGTTCCTTGAACAATGTCATGCTCTGCTCTGCATGTCTCAGGTATTTATCAGTGGGTTGCAAGTTGTAAGTAGATTTAATTTTAGCTACACTTCTCTTGTCTTTGTTCTCCTCATCAGTTTCTCCACTTCGGCTATCTTTAAAAAAAAAAAAAAATCCTGATGACTGGCACACACCGGCATGCATTTTTATGTACTAGGGATGGGGTATGACCTGGGCATCAGGATTTTTAAAAACTCCCAAGAGATTTTAAAGTACAGCAAAGTTTGAGAACTGTTAAAATACAGTATTTCTGCCTTATTCAAGGCTTTTTCCAACTCCTAGTTTTCATGGACAGCATCCTTACAGATTCTACTTATTACATATGGTGCACTCCTCTGTCTCAATTAAGGATGTCCTTCCGACTCCATCCACTAATCATTCTTTATTTTCTCATTAGAATGTCAGCTTCAGGAGGGCAGGAGTTTTGTTTGATTGGTTCTCTGTTATATCCTCAGCACCTAGAACACCTAGACACATTGTAGACACTTGATAAAGATCTGATGAATGAATGAATATTTCTTCTTTTATATTCAGTGTCCTGATAAACTCATTTCTCACACAATTTCCAATAAAAGTGGTATTATATTTAGGTGATTTCCAAATCTGGTCATGTTTCCAGTGGTCATCTTTTAAGCCCCAATTTCACATAAAATTCATTTTAAAACTTGAGCTCAATGATTTTCCTTCTCACTCAAACCCTAACATCCCAGTCCCAGCCTGCCCATGTGTATCCATCAGTTTCCTCCCTGAGTCTCAAGTTTAACACCTTGAGTCATTTTCAAGCCTTGTCTTCCCCATATTTAGTTACTGAGTTTTGCAATTTGCTTCTCTGAAAATTCTCTTGAATTTGTCCCTTCCTTTCAATTTCCACAACACTGAATTTGTCTTCTTGGCTTCTATTTATTCACATTTCAAATGACCTCACATCCACCTGCTAGCAACTGTTTTTTTTTTTTAAATGCTTATGAGGGTTATAATATACAGATGTAAAGTATATGACAAAAATAACATAAAGGATGGGAGAAGGTAAAGAGAATTAAATTGTTGTAAAGTTCTTATATTGTTTGGGAAGTGGTAAAGGCACTAACTTAAAGTAGATTATAATTCAAGGGTGCATATCTTGAAATCTTTGGGATAATCATGAGAAAAATAATACAAGAATATATAATGAAATAATAGGGAGAAAAAATTTTAAAAACTGAATAATTCAAAAGATAGGAAACAAGAAACAAAAGAAGATGTATGGATTAAATTTAAAACAAATAGCACAATGGTAGACTTGAAACCATCTCTATTAGGAATTACATTAAATATAAATAAACTAAACATTCCAATTAAAAGGCAAAGATCATCAGAACTGATAAAAAAATTTTCAGTATGGAAAGAAACATTCCTAAGACTGATGTCAAGGAGCCTGCTGCCTATGTTTTCTTCCACTAGTTTTATTGTTTCAGGTCTTACACATTCAAGTGTTTAATCCATTTTGAGTTAATTGGTATATATGGTGTAAGAAAGTAGTCCAGTTTCATTCTTTTGCATGTAGCTGTCCAGTTTTCCCAACACCATTTATTAAAGAGATTGTCTTTTCCTGATTGTATATTCTTGCCTCTTTTGTTGTACATTTTCTGACTGTATATGCATGGGTTTATTTCTGGGCTATCTAATTTGTTTCATTGATCTATGTGTCTGTTTTTATGACAGTACCATATTGTTTTATTATAACTTTGTAATACAGTTTGAAATCAGGAACGTGATACTTCCAGCTTTGTTCTTAAGATTTTTTTGTCTTTTTGGGGTCTTTTGAGGTTCCATACAAATTTTAGAATTGTTTGTTGTAGTTCTGTGAAAAATGCCATTGGAATTTCGATAGGGATTGCATTCAATCTGTAGATCACTTTAGGTATTCTGCACATTTTAACAATATTAATTCTTCCAGTCCATGAACATGGAATATCTTTCCACTTATTTGTGTCTTCTTCAATTTCTTTCATCAGTGTCTTTTTTTTTTTTAAGGTTTTATTTAGTTACTTGAGAGAGAGAGACAGAGAGTGAGCACAGAGGGAGAGGAAGAAGAAGACCCCTGCTGAGCAGGGAGCCCAATTCAGGACTTGATCCCAGGATGCTGCGATCATGACCTGAACCGAAGGCAGATGCTTAACCGACTGAGCCACCCAGGTGCCCCCATCAATGTCTTTTTTTAAAAAAAGTTCTCCTTTTCCTTACTTCCCTGCCTCCCTCCCTCCCTTCCTTCCTTTTCTTCCTTTTCTTTTTTGACTACAGTTTACACACAATGTTATATTAGTTTCAGGTGTACAACATAGTGATTTGACAGGTTTATACATTTTGCTATGTTCATCACAAATGTAGCTACCATCTGTCATACATCACTATTATAGTATCATTGACTATATTCCTTATGCTGTGCCTTTTATTTCTGTGACTTATTCATTTCATAACTGGAAGTTTAATCTTTCCACTCCCTGTCACCTATTTGCTCATTCCCCCCATGCCCTCCCCTGTGGCAACCATCAGTTTGTTCTCTGTGTTTACAGGTCTGATTCTGCTTTTTGTTTATTCCTTTTTTTTTTAGATCCACATATGAGTGAAATCATATGATATTTGTCATTCTCAGTCTGACTTGTTTCACTTAGCATGATACCCTCTAGATCCTTCCATGTTGTCTCAAATAGCATGATATTATCCTTTTTATGGCTGCATAATATTCTATTGCATATAAATCACATCTTCCTTATCCATTTGTCTATCAATGGACACTTAGGTTGTTCCCATATCTTGGCTATAGGGGTGCATGTATCTTTTCAAATTCATGTTTTTGTTTTTTAGGGTTAAGTACCCAATAGTGGAATTACTGGATCATATGTTATTTCTATTTTTAATACCTCCATACTCTTTTCCATAGGGGCTGTACCAGTTTACATTACCACCAACAGTGTACAAGTATTCCTTTTTTTCCACATCTTCACTAACACTTGTTATTTCTTGTCTTTTTGACTTTAGCCATTCTGACAGGTGTGACATGTCTTCTTTCATTTATTTTATTTATTCCAGGCTTTTTTTTTTGTCTTGGTGAGTCTAGCTAAAGGTTTGTTGATTTTCTTTTTGAAGAACCAGCTCTTAGTTTCATCGATCTTTTCTTTTTAGTCTTTTTGGTCTCTTTTTTCATTTATTTCTGCTCTGGTTTATTATTTCCTTCCTT